TGTCATTTGTGTGATGCCCGATTACCTAGTAAGATTAGATTGTACTGCACAGGAATCATTTCTATCCTGAACCACTGATGTAACGGCAGAAGACAGGAGACTTGGCAACGGAATGATTTTTGCCATCTTATATTTCCATATAGCGAAATTATGTACACCTTATAGGAAAATAATCATTTCGACAGATCTTCCGTGTTGTGCTACTTCTGCCCTTCGTTTTGTGTTTCTTTATCTTTTTTTCATTTCTGCCATATTTTGCTGCAACACTGTTTCATTTGCTCTACTTGACGTCAAGTCGATTTCTCTGCTATTTGATATTTTCGTTCTGATGAAAGTCTCTCTCTATACTACTGATAGATGTTATCAGTAGCACACGAAACACTACCACTACTACCCTCTAGGGCGAAGCAGTTATACAGTCAGAGATTGGAGATGAAAATGAGAAGATTAATCACTTATTCGTCTGCTTATGATCGCTTTTGTTAGATCATGTTAACTTTGTGTTCTCTGCACAATGACTACATAAAATGATTAAGTTAACGATAAGAAACTTTTACATTGGGTGTCTAACGTGTTCAGTTCATATGTGGACGTGTTTTACCAACTTTTAATTGACAACAGGAATTACTAGTTTAGGAGTGGCTAGCATATTGAATCTAGCACACGCGTCTTGTCCTACCTGGAATTCGCCAGCCAAATCCACCAGCATCTCTAGTGAGTGATGATGTCCAGCTAAGAAGTAAATTGATATACAAAATTAAAATGTGACCATTTTAACTTGGAAGCAGTCGGCCACAGGAAGCCTTGTTTGACCTAGGTTTCGCACTAGTTGGCATCCACCAGTCAGCCTGGCGTATCTCCAGTCACCATGAAGGAATTCAGGTCCCACCCCTCTGAGATTCGAACCCCCATGATCCAGTTTAGCAGTCAGAGACGTTACCAATGAGCTATTCAGTCTCACTATTGACCACCTATAGGACTAACTGTATTGGATACTTTTACTGGACACTAGTCACTAGTGTGATGTGTCTGGCTAAGAAGTAAACTGATATACGAAGTTAAAATGTGCCCATTTTATTCTGACATGTATTGTCATTGCTTTCTTCAAATTCATTGAGGATAATCAGTGTATTAAACTGGCGGTTTTTGTTGGGCAATTTTTCCTTAGTTAGTTGATGATGACTGATGCTTTACATTGAGTTAGAGTCTGTGAGGGTTGGTTATTCCACCTGTTTAGACTGAGCACTACTTGTAGATAACAGCTTTTTGCTTCTAAATGGAGTAAATTATTGATTTCTCAGAGGCACTGAAAAATGCTGACTTGACAAATTCCTAAAGGTATCAAAAGTAAGTATTTCCAATATCCCTCCACTATTTGCTGACAGTGAAGTTTGCTCTCCTCGTAGTTGATATAGTCGAGTAACCTGTCACCTTCTCCTTTGAAATGTCAACAAATTTCCTATTGAATTGAAACTATACCCTGTTATATCTTAATAGATAATGTGTGTAATGCGTCAGTAGTTCTTCAATGGCAGAATGCTCATTAACCACTTACGTAGTCTAGGGTTCGACTCTCGGCTGGCTCATTCCTAAACCTTTCATAGTTCACTGCCCAATAGTAAGCCTGGAGAAGAGGGGATGTCGGCCGTGAGGCTAGCAACTCCACTTCGTGTAACTAGACACCGACGCTACTTAAACTTCAAAGTTTGAATTCCTATGTTCTACTTGGAGCGGGAAGGAACGAGGAAATAAATGTGGGTGTAACAATAAGAACTATAATGTTACTAATAGCATTTTATTCTGAAAAAATGCGTTTATACACAGCACAGAATTCTCAGCGTGTTCAATTTACTGAGTATCCATTCCATGTGTTCAACCTTCAGTGTCATTTGAAAATTGTACCATGAGTACAGATTGCGATTCAAGGACGTTAATAGATGATTAAAACAGAATAAAGTAGAATAGATTTGATCTATTTTGATGAATCGAAAATTAATTAGACAGTCTTGTGATTCTTGCATACCACTGTCAATTGATGAAATATTACTCTGGTTAACGAGTGATTTTCATCAGTCTATAAAAAAAGAGATTTTAGAATAGACGACACAGTCTAACTGGATGCTTGAATTAGTAACACAGTTGAAAAGAAAATTTTCTTCGCTGCAACCGTTTTTTTTCATTAATACTTATGATCTCATGTGTATATTCCGTAAAACAATCCTCCAAAAATTATCTGTCTGCCCATTTACTCTCAGTTTCGAGAATTTCATAATAATGGTAACTGCCTTATTCTTGACGAAAAATTTATATAATATACAAAATTCTTAAATTGAATTTTTGATTTTCCCGTCGAGCCTCGGTGGGAACATCATCACTCACTGAGAAATGCAGGTACATCCAGCTGACGAGTCCTAAATAGGACGAAATGCGCATCCTGGATTTCACTGCTAGCCACCATACACCAATTGTATACAAAATTCTTAGTTTTATTTATTGCATATTGTTTTCTCTTCAGCCATTATCTTCAGGTTAAATAGCAATCTATGATAAATTGTTTTGTGCGTCAGTGGCACAGCGGTAGAATGCTTGCCAACCATGCCTTACTTGGTCCGGGTTTCGATCTCCGGCCGACACACTCCTTTACCTCGCTAAGCCAGTATTTACAAAAAAAGCTGGTAAAGAGGAAAGGTTGGACATGAGCTTAGCAATCCTATCCTTTAAAATATCCTGCTACAGAAACTTCCAGCCTCTAGCTTGAAGTCTTATGTTCCACTGGGAGCGTGAAGGAATGAACATATATATATATATATATATATATATATATATATATATATATATATATATATATATATATATATATATATATATGCTATTGGACTTATTGTTGTTTATCAGTTTGTTTATTAGATGTATCACACAGTGAAACAGTATTATTTACTGCACGAAAGTGCCACTTGAGGACATAATGCTGGGAGTGCAGCTATGCCTGACTTCCACAGTATTTAAATTCTAAGGGAAAATATACAAACAAACTGAGGGAGTTGCCATGGGATCACGAATATCCCCGGTTGTAGCATATATATTCATGGATAGGTGGGAAAACATGGCGACTGAAACGTTCACCCCCATCCCAAAAGTGTGTAGGAGGTATTTAGATGGCACACTCACTGTACATAGAACACAAGATATAGATAGATTTTTCGAACACATTAACTCAAAGGTGGAGGCAATTCAATTCATTTATGAATTGAAAAGTCAGGAAGGGAACTGCCAATGTTAGATTGCAGCGTTAAAAGGAAATAAGATAGGAAGTTAAACACTAGTGTTTATAGGAAACCCACACATTCAAACAGGCATTTGGACTTCCGATAATCCCATCCTATGTCAGTAAAAATAGGATTGGTGAAATGTTTAAGTGACAGAGCACAAAAACTAAGTGGTACCAAGGAAAATCTAAGACGGGAAGTGAGACATATCAGAGAAGCCTTGAGAGATGATAGTTACACCGATAAATTAGTCAGGAAATATGTAGGGAAATGTAAAAATAAAAATTAAATAAATAATGATATTAGTGATAATAATAATAACAATAATGATAATAATAATAATAATATTAATGACGACATGCATGTCAAATATGCGCAAGACAACACCAACAATAAAGAATCTAAATCATCATTAGTAATTCCGTACACGGAGGGAACCTCAGAAACCTTACGCACAATTCTTAACAAGGCATGAATAAAAGTAGCTGACATTCAAACCAACCACAAACTCAATTAGAAACAAGCTTTGTGGGTTAGAGGATCATGTGGAGCCTTTAAAACAAAACAATTTAGTTTACCTAATATCCTGCCTACAATGATTGTCAGATCAAATGCATAGGTCAAACTGGTAGAACAGGAGCAGTCAGACTAGACGAACATAAAAACCTAGCAAAATCTGGATTAGTTGACCTGAATAAGATAAGAAATCTAGAGAATAGTTCAGCTACAGCACTCACTACATGCAATTACGCACAACCAGACAATAGGATGGATGGGATATGGTGACAGTTTTAAAATCTAATGTAACAGGGTGGAGGGAGCGATTGATAACAGAAGCTTTGTTTATCGAATCAACTGCAAATACATGTAATAGGAATGATTCAATACCTGTCCACTCGGATATCTGGAAAATCCTACTACCCCAACGACAACAAATAGGAGAGGACGAAGAAAACTATAAAACTCGAGTTTCGAATTTGTGTGATTATAAATGATATGATTATGAACAATAAATTTTGTTGGAAACGTCGTCATCCAGTAAATAATACTGTTTCCCTCACTGTGTGATGCATCTAATAAACAAACTAATATGGAATTACTTACTATCACAGTGCCTAAATTTTACAGATATATTATTACTGTTCAATCTGTAGGAGAAACCGAATCCTTATAATATTTCTCCGTCGTCTCCAAGATATGCATAGAGTTAGGTTTATAGATAATCAAAAATATGCGTGACTACATTTTACGACTCAAGAACAAAACTGAACCATTAAACCACGATAACTGGAGAAAATCTGATGTATTATGTTGCATGGAAATTCAGGTAGTTGAGTGATTCAAGCAGTCTACCATAGAGTTCTGCACCATTGAAGAATATCAAATAGTACTGAAGAAGAGAATTCAATTCAATGTACTACCCGTTCTCCTGAGTACCTAACCAGAATTCAGGTGGTTTGAAGTGATTGAATTGAACTCAATACACTGCTGATGAGCCAAACGACTGTTCTATGTTTTCAAATCACTTCGATCTGATTAACAAGCACTACCAGTTGATGTGAGTGGCATTTATCTACTCATATAAGCCAGTCAGTAGTATACAGCATTATGCAATGATGAAGGCACCTATTGATTCATTGTTGTCCTTTATAACCATTGTCTTTTCATGTTCAAATTGTTCAATGGAGGTATTCATATTATTTTTTTTCTCTCATTTTCATTTATATTTTTCAGTTCATGTACGGGTGTTTCACTGTATACAAAATTACATATAAAACGTGAAAAACTATCACATTCTATTCGATTACATCTACTACGACAGATTGCAAATGCGATCACTTACCTGCACAGTCGAACTAATCCAATTGTTGTACGTCGATTGTCGAGTAAAAATATTTTCTTAAGGCCTAAAATGAATTTATACCTAACTGACTATTCTACAGAGGATTGTGATTATCAAGTGTAAGTTATGCAATCGTATAAATTCGTATCCAATTTGATTTTCATTTCTCTGATATTCATTGGATGTTCTTTTCTTACCCCCTAGCCTGCGGATACTACTTATTTTTTCTGTATATATATATATATATGAGTAGTTATTCACTCTATTATGTTCTTCTGTGATTTGAAATTTCTGTGGCGATTGGATTGATTTCTCTAGGGTTGGGTCTTTATCCTCAAACTCAACCTTCCCTCCTTTCAAGGATTAGGATCGAACAGGAAGACTAGACGACGAAATAACCAAGCGTCTATTGTTCAATAAATATTCAGAAGGAAGGCGAGATCAACTGGACATATGCTAAGGAGACCGTTGAGTGGCACCACACACTGGGCAGGTCTTCCAAAGGAACCTGAATGGGAAGTGAAGAGTTGTGCATGGATCTAAGGGTGACATGAAGAAGATCATTTGGTGAGGAGGAAATAAAACAAAAATTTTTAAAGAAACAATCTTGGATCAAGCTGAAAGACTGACTGACTGATTTCAACGTAGAATTTTGCACAGATGTGCGGCAGTTCAAGACACCACACTTCACTTAGTACACAAAGCAAGAGAAGAAAGTAAAACAAGAGTTCAAAACAAAAACAGTAAACAGAGATATGAGGCAAAAAGAATAGTAATATCGAAGAAAAATATAGTTTCATTGTAAATTATAAGTCACAAGGAGTGGATGCATCTGCGTCAGCCGTTGAGAACGACTTTGAGCCATATCACCAATATACTTCAACCATTGATGTTTAGCGTCCCGAGAAGCCCAACGAGGAAATCTACATCTCCCTACGTGGCTGATTGGCTCAAACTAACTGTTGTGGATTTCATTAACTGATGAAGCCATGTTTTGGTTTGACCACCGCTAGCTGTTTTCCAGTCTGATCCTATATCAGCCAACACTGTCCGTCGAGGAAGCCGATGGCTAGGCATATGTAACACATGCCCTAACCATCTCAATCGATCTAACTTTCCTTACTTCAAGCTCAAAGTGTTGGCAAAGAACAAAGTGAAAGGGGCATGTCCTGTTGATGCCTTTTATTCCACCCGGAACCCAAGGAAATAATGGTACAAGTAGCTAAAGACAATAGTAGATTGAGCTTAACAATACCACTTTGTATATTAATCCATTTTTAAATATACAGTTTTGAGAAACAAATGATTAAGATGAAAGGCCCAACAGAGGTAAAATTATTCGAGTACCCCTACATTTACTGACAGTTCTAATAACTTACTAGCGTATAGGTTGTGTTTAGAGTAAAGTTGATAAAATCTGTTGATAAAATTGTAAATAATAACCCGCATTGCGATTAGTCTGTGAAGAGTAAGGACAAAGTAATTGTTATATACATTCTGATTTTGCCTTTAACCTTAAAATAACCCTAAATTACTATTTTTGAATACTCTTAGAGCTTTTAGTTTAACACATTTAGATAAACGATTTTTAATCAATTCTGAAATGGTGTCACCTTTGAATGCAAGACTCATAAACAGATTTTTCTTTGGTACTGTGACTTGTCTCGGGGCGGATTCTTTCTTGATGTTACGTTCAATGAACCTTGTGGGATAACCATTGTTAAGGAGATTTGATCGAAGGTTATCTAGTTCCCTATCGATTGTCTCTGCAAAGCAGATTTTACGAATTCTGGAGCATAAGGAGTGAATAAGATTTCTCTTTCTCCCTATAGGTACCCAACTGTTGAAGTTAGTGTACTGCCCAGTGAATGTTGACTCTCGGTAAATCGACCTTAACAGCGTTGCATTCTCTCTTCTATCTAGCTTAATATCAAGGAAGTGAAACGTAGAATCCGACTCTTCTTCGATCGTGAAAAGCAAAGATGGGTGAGAACCATTAAATATTCTAAGAAGTTCGGCAGCTGAAGCGTATTCATCACATACAATGAAGGTATCATCAACATATCTTTTATACATAAACAGACTATCGATGGTTTCCTTTAGTGGGCCATTCTCTAAGCTTGCCATGAAAACGTCCGCTAAGAGCGGTCCTAAAGGAGACCCCATGGCGACTCCATCCCTTTGATTGTAGATGACATCATTAAATCTAAATTGCACATTCAGTGTGCATCTCAATAGTAGTTGTTTAAGATAATCAGTTGGTAAGCCAAGGTTCATGCTGTTTGAATCAATATACTCGCATAGATAGCAGATAGTGTTCTTCGCTGAACAAAAACTGTGTTTTTACTTATGAATAAATGGGTATTTTTCGAGATAAACAGAATTGTATGAACTGTGTTCAAGATTTGACCCCAGACTTACACAAATTAGTCTACTTTTGTTAAACACTTTAAACAGAGTGTACTTTTTCATCAGAATTTTAGTGATTACGTCCGACTAAAAGTTCATGTTTGAATATGAAAATATTTGTTGAATTGATTTTGATTTTCCCGTCGATTGATTGGACCGAAGTGCTCGGTCTCAGGTTGACATGTCGGCTTCTTTTGCAGATGCTTCGACGATGTCTGGGTATTTAATTAGTATAAAATTGGTGGGTGGTGGCTAGCAGTGGAATCCAGGATGCGTATTTCGTCCTATTTGGGACTCGTCAGTTGGATGTACCTGCATTTCTCAGTGAGTGATGATGTTCCCACCGAGGCTCGAACCCAGTGCCCGTAGTTTCAAACGCAAAAGCGTTATCCACTAGACCACTTGTATACTAATTAAATACCCAGACATCGTCGAAGCATCTGCAAAAGAAGCCGACATGTCAACCTGAGACCGAGCACTTCGGTCCAATCAATCGACGGGAAAATCAAAATCAATTCAACAAATATTTTCATATTCAAACATGAACTTTTAGTCGGACGTAATCACTAAAATTCTGATGAAAAAGTACACTCTGTTTAAAGTGTTTAACAAAAGTAGACTAATTTGTGTAAGTCTGGGGTCAAATCTTGAACACAGTTCATACAATTCTGTTTATCTCGAAAAATACCCATTTATTCATAAGTAAAAACACAGTTTTTGTTCAGCGAAGAACACTATCTGCTATCTATGCGAGTATATTGATTCAAACAGCATGAACCTTGGCTTACCAACTGATTATCTTAAACAACTACTATTGAGATGCACACTGAATGTGCAATTTAGATCCAACTGACCGCCACCGTTCTCACCAATTAAAGACAAGAAAACCAGATGCGAGGTAAATTTGAAACGCGATAACGTTTATCCCCATCCGCGATAATATGCATGAAAATGTAGTGTACTACTAAATTGAATATGAGATAAAATTACGAAGAGAATTAATGCAACAATTAAAGATAAATAAAACAACAACGATGATAGGGCGTAAAAAGCTTAGAGGGTCTGAGAGATTGTCGGACGATTACATTCAAGTAATGATAACCAGCGTTTGAAATAACTTCTTGTGAACTTATAGGTTATGCTTCTCTATGTTGATTTCTACAGCTTCAAATGCATATAGCAGATGAACTTGTAAGGTGAAATTTAGATTAATTGAAATATGGTAGAGAACTTTAACATCGATTTTATGTTCACTAACTATAAGATGAGCGGAAACGAAGCTACGAATAGGGCTCGTCTGTCTCTTGCTTAACTCTTCAGGTTAATGTTAATTAACACATCTGACTGTACGCTTAGTGCAACTGGCTTTACAGGAGCAGTCAGAGTGATAGATACACATGAGTAGTTTATCCTTAACTAGTGAACGCAAAATTTATCTAGTTGCGATGAGACAGTGTACCCCTGTCTAAATGAATGCCCTTTTAACTTGATTCTTCAAGCATCGAGTTATTACCTAACTGTTGTTATCACCAAGGAATAACACTTTCAAGAATAAGGTTTTCTTCGGAGTTGTTAACATACAAGTTTGCCTTGGCGTTAAATTCATGTTTTATTTATTTTTTTATTTTTCATTGAAAATGCCCATTAAAAGTTTCAGAAGAACAGTCCTTTCGATAACTTCTTCATCAGGCTATACACTTATGGGTATATAATAATTAAAGAATTACTGTTATTAACAACACTGAAGTTTTAAATAATACTGAATCAATAATATTGACAGATTACAGTTCAAAAGCATCACTGAGTTATAATATGCTTGAAAATAACACTAAAGTGAATATCAGATACATTAAGAAAAACATAAGAGAATTAATGAATTTATAGGTTCTACAACAAGTCAGGATAGGAATAGCTTTTTTTTCCTTCACGTTCCCCAGTGGAACATAGGCTTCAAGCTAGTGGCTTGAAGTTTCTGTAGAAGTGTTTATTTTACAGGATGGGGTTGCTAGCCTCATGGCCCAACCTTTCCTCTTTACCAGCATTATTTCTAGCTTAGCGAAGTGCATTGGCGGCCGGGGATCGAACCCCGGACCAAGTGAGGCGTAGTCGGTGAGCATCCTAACCGCTATGTCACCGGCGCATAGGTGTTTCAGGGCTTCTATCTCTGGTTTTGTTAGGTTAGGCTTTCCACATTTTTGTCGTTTTAATGTAAGTGCACATTGTGCCCGTACTTCATCAGCTGTTGTTTTGTCTATCCCACTTAGTGCTATTTCTATCTTAGGGATAGGAATAGTGGCTAGACGTATTTCTTTTGCACGCAGAGATCCAGTTGTTTTAGGCGAATTGCAATGGCTTCTGCCTTTTGGAATGTTCAGTATCTCAAAGGCTTTATATATATATATATATATATATATATATATATATATATATATATATATCATGCAGTTTTTAGTTATCACTAAATAATCAATATCATTCATTTAAATCGATAAACAGCATGGGATTGTAAGAATTATTGAATTTATTTATTCCCTGACAGATAAAATAGCATGAACTTTAATTTCGGTTTTTTCAAAAATATATACATTATGACGAAAATATTACATGATATTCTCGTAAGATTATGTAATACTGTGTTCTGTCTGTATTTCTCTAGCCTTTGTGAACAAAAATAATATTTCTTAGAGATAAAACATTATGTTGTCAACGCTCTATAGAATCTTTTTGTCGTTTACATTATTTGATATGGATTAATTTAATTTCAGTTGATAAATTTCGTCACAAACCAACATCAGACAGAGGCGTCACTGGAAGACCTGGCAACAACACTGGATGCGTGATTCGTCCTATTTTGGAACTTTTCTTCAATGTGAACCCACAACCCCATTATGTATCGAACTTGAAACCTTCAGGTTACGAGACCAAGATTACTGACAATTCGGCCATTTTGACCAGCTTACCGATGACTAATGGATGGGTTTCATGAATCTGAAATGGAAATTCATGACCAGTGGTCTCCAACACGTCAAGATGAAGTGGGTGGTTGTCGAAGGCATTGATTGTTGGTAGCTCTGTATCACGACCTGGAAAAGTTTGAATCCATAGGTCACTGAACTATAACCCCAAGTAGCTGAGTAGCTAACCAAATTTGTCTTGTAACCTGAATTTCTAGGTTCGATCCTTGTTGGGATCGTGGGTTGACATTGATGAAGAGGCCCAAGATAGGACGAAACATCCGTCCAATGCCTTTTTGTTGTTGTTTAGAAATGAGATGTCGACAATAAATAATGTTGTTTCAAACGCCATAGCATTATCCACTAAGCCACTGGGCCAAGACAGTAGTCAAATTGTGTACAACAGACAACAGCTACTATTTATTTTCGTCTTAATATCTATTGTGCGTCGGTGGCACAGTGGTTAGGACTCTCGCCAACCATGCACATGGTCCGGGGTTCGAGCCCACGCCGACGCACACCTGATATCTATGGTCGGCCTGCGAAATTTGGGCTACCGATATCCACGCTGAAAATTCCATACTTGTACCGAAAATATGGTGTGGAATCAAGCTGTAATCAAAAATTTAAAATAAATAAATTAAATTCCGCGTTGACTGATTTCTGTATTGCATTAAAGTGCTTGGTCTTTGTTGACTGACCTCCTGTTACCCCCTGGTACGGTTGCTTCGACAATGTTCGAAGATTAACATGATTTTATTTAATAGTTTACTGTGGCTAGTAGTGGAAGCCAGACTGCGCAAAACTTTAACAAATAACATTGATGGTTCTCATTGCCGCCTATAGAAATAGTTGAATGATATAGGAGATTAGAACATAATTCAATGTACAAGAAATATCAGTTTTGCCTTCTCATGCAAATAAATTATTCTAGTGTCAGTTTGATGCGTCTTTTATGATGTCTGTCTTGACTTACTGCTTGTGAAGATGTTTATAATGAAGTTGAACCGCTGTCAGTTACTGTATTTTTCAGCAAAGATGTTATCATGAATCGAAATTAGTTAACGAATCCTAATTTAGGTCTCTTCATCAGTGTGCAGGTATGAGCCTAACACTGATCAATATCTAAATTAAGCATGCTTATTGATGGGATCAATGCTTAGTAGCGTTATATAGTCAGCTGACAGGAGTTAAAACCCTTTTAGCGTTGAGGAGGAAATGAAACCATATGGTCCATTCAAGGAATCAGTTAAAAAAGATTATACAGAAGAGGCTGAAATGGCCATCTGCTACTGAAACCTTTTATCCACTAGGAAGCCAATGAACGAATAATAGTAAAAAGATACCCAGAACACGCGTTTGAGTTATTAAATTATGAACCACACAGATTACTTATGTGCTGGTAATATCAACCGTCAGTGGCACAGCGTTAGGATACTCGTCAACCACGCATGTGGTTCTAGGTTCAATCCCCGTCCAACTCACTCCTAAACCTCTATAAGCCAGTAATAAGACCGGTAAAGAGGGAAGCTTAGGCGTGAGGCTAGCAACCCCAACTCGTAAAAATAAACATCGCTTCTAGTGAAACTTCAAAGCTCTAGCTTGAAGCTCAACGTTCCACTGGGAAAGCAAAGGAATAAAAAGGTGCCGACCAGTTGCTGAAGCTGGAATAAGTGAGACAATATTCATATGCCAGAGCCACTATCTGGCTAATAGTCAAATGATAAAACCAATGAGCGGTGTATACACAAGCAAGAAGTCATTTAAGCACCTTCAAGATTTCACCCATTACAGTGTTAGGAGTGACAGTAGTTTAATTGATCACCTTTTGTTTAAGTCAGTTCCTGTTTTCCCCATTGATTGAACTTAAATGTTGGGCTTCTGTTTATATGACGGCTCCTAGTATAGATGCTGCAATGATGTCTGAGGAGTATTACTGACGTTATTTCATGGATGGTGACTAGCAATAGAATCCAGGATGCACACTTTGTCCTATTCGAAATCTCCAGCAAGTGACGGCTTTCCCGTTGAGGCTGTAATCCGGTACTTTCCGTCTCAAACGCCAAAGCACTATCCACTAGGCCACTTGGGCCACCAGAATTACCTCTTAGCTTTTGAAACGAAAGGTAATGAGTTCAAGTTTCAGTAGGAACACTATCACTCACTGGAAATTACAAGCACACTCAGATAACGAGTCCCGAATAGGACGAAATATTCACCCCCTCAGACTCCATCACTAGTCATTATCCAACAAATAACCATAAATAATCACTTGTTGGCCAACCTAAAGAATAGCGACCATGGAGTATAAACATACCAATGACCTTGAATGTACACCATTCGTTAAATTACAGAACCTATCTTTATGAATGCTGTGCACGAATCGATTTACGAATTTTAGTCCTTATCTTGTTTTTAAGTACTGTTTGGACTCTGATTTGATGGCAAGTTATAATTAGGATTAGTATCAGGGTTGAAGTTAGGATTAAGGTCAGGTTTAAGGCAGGTATTAGGATTATTACTATTATTATCGACATTTTTCTGTAAATAAATAAATGGGAGGAGAGTGTTTCGTTGTTCATTTAGATGAAACCGTTTTGATAGCTATAAAACTTGAAAATTGATATCCTTCATTGTAATTGGGATATAATTTTCAGTTATATAAGGGTAAAGTATCGTCTTTCATTTGTTTCACTATTATTATTATTATTATTATTATTATTATTATTATTATTATGTTAATTTTTCTCGTAAATGAACAGCATTTTGATGGATAATATACACCAATGAATAGTATGCGTTCAAGGCCACTAGTGTGTCCGCACTATGTGGTCTCTATTGTTTATTCTTGCCTATTTGTTTACCAAACATTATCATACGTCAGTACATGAGTTGAATTTTGGTCTAAAAAACAAATTGAAGATGTATAAATAAGCCCCTGGTAACTGACAGCACAGAAAACTTTGAGATTGAGTGTTGTTAATTAATGAATGAATGGAACTAAAAATGAAACACGTAGATATTCAAAAATCACATCAAGTTTGAAACACTGTGTCAATCAATAATCCTAGTTTAGTTGTATAGTTTTATGAATTCATCAAACAAAAAGTACTGTTTACTTTATTCAGTGTTTTTATTATTTAATTAGACAGAGGGTATTTTTGAGATTGTCAAACTGCAGTCAAAATAACTCAGTGACATACAATAGCAATACAGCTGTGGCTTAACACCGACGACTGGGAAATCGATAGTCAACTTTTCACTATCACTCAAGGTCAAAGCCTACGTTTTTTGTTTTGTTTTAATGATTATGGTGGCAGAGTAAAGTCTGCTTACAAATGACTATTCTCATGTTTTCTTTTTGTTTCCGTTTTCCTAAACACAAAATATATTTTAGGCCTGGATTTGTTCCAATCCAGCTGGATTGTATCAAGTACATCGCTCCAGAACTTTTGCTTACAGTTGAAGAAGATATTATAAAGTTATGCGGAGAGACTTATGGTTGTTGTGGTGGGGGTGGAGGGAGCAGTGCTGGGGGCGGTAGTACCTCACAAATGCCTATCGAATGGAATGATGATCCAGGCGAGACAACAACAACAACAACTCATCTCTATCCAGCGGTTAAATCAGAACAGACAAGTAAACAACCAATTCTAGGCTATATCATGAAGTTATCAAATCCATCGTCTGAATTACACATGACTGATAACAATGCTACACAGGATTCAGAGATATTGAAATCATGGCCTAATTTATTGGGGTTAGGGAAAAATCATCAGTCAACGGGATCGTCATCGTCATCATCAACCAGTCAGCTGACTAAGAAGTCTATTTCATTGCCAAATTTATATACAAATCGTCATACACTAGAGGACTCGCTTAAGCTACCCTATAAATCAGTTAAATACATTTCATTGCATAAAGCCAGTTTTATCAAGGCAATTCGACAGTTTTGTACAACATCGAAACAGTATAAAATTGTTGTGAAAACTATTTACATCCCTGTGACTGAATTCACTACCTCTACAGATATATTTGCATTTGGGTAAGATAAATTACAGCAAAAGAAGAAATCGATAAATTTATTATTTTTATTTGTGTTAAAGTACAAACTTATTACATTATGGTCACTAAGAGATGTGTCACGAAAAACTCGCATAGACTGTGGATGACTGGGATGACCAGACCAAAGGAAATGGTTGTCTTAAAGGGCCAACTCTCCCACTGTTCGACTTCAAATCTGATTCACAAGGTAGTGGAGCAGCCTTCTCATGGATCCCGGTGACCAAAATACTGCCAAACGTCATTCGATCCTTTCAAATTCTGGAGACCATGTACACGACAGGGTTTTCCAGCATCCCTACGTATGATCACCAGTCAGGTTCCCAATGCCAGAAGTTTGCATTTGCCGCTTCACTTTTTTGAGGAACATCCCTGCCACACGAGGGAGGTGAATAGGACTTACCTGGGAGAGGTCATGAATGAGTGGCCACTTGAGAGCACTTCAAGAGGAAGACTGATGTCTACTCACCTTAGACTGTAGCAAGTCGTTTATGGGGGTTGGGGCGAATATATAAATATAGTCTGATATCAGATGAAGGGAATATGGTTAGACAGAGAACTCTCCTATAGTAACTTAGTTCTTATCAGCAGTACTCAGTGTTGGCACCTGATTTATGAAGTTCTTTCAGCAGGATATGTAGCTTAATTCTGAATACATGTACCACAGAGTCATACATGTGAAGGATAGCCAGGATTGGAGTTGTTTAACGGTAACATTTAAAAAATGACTAATTTATACACATTTGCAATTCTCAAGTTTATTCACATTTAGTCATTTACACAGTCTGAGGTGAAGTTTCATCATAGTTTCTTTTGGGAATCGAAGTTATTCAAATTGAGAATTTCTTTCAGTGTATTAAAAGTTCACCTAAGTAGACAGCCAAGATTTAGGTGGTTTGAATACACTCGGGTATCTGAGTTGAGTCAAACAACCAAGCACACCACTGACGATCTCGGCCTGAAATGTGTGAAACAAAGGCCATTTGGTGTTTAGATCAATTCAATCTGACAAGAAAACACTACTGGTTGGTTTCAGTGGTATCCAACTACTCATATCAACCAATCAATAGTATGTGGTGATTCTTACATCCTCTGTAATTGTGAATCTTAACTAAACCACTGTCAGATAACAGATATTAACATCAGTCTAAACACTGTTGAAGTAATAATTTTCAAGGATGTATTAAAGCTGTGGCTGAAGTATTCGTCTAGACGCTAGACTTCCAGACACTGGATCACGGGTTCGAATAAAGGTTCACATCTCTTGGTTGTCATTAGCCCTTATCATAATGGGCGTAACTCACTGTTGACTAACTACATGGAAAAGTAAGCCGTTTTTGAGTTCTTGCCGCATCATATAAGCTGAATAGGTATTATGTAATCCATTGAACTGAGCGTATCGACTGTATTTCTTCAGAGTGGCTTTACATGCTAAACAAGATAGCAACTACACTGCTGCTCAAGGTTATCAGATGTCCCCTTTGTAGCAGCTCTGCTGTCCACTCGTACAACAAACAGATGACCATCAATCACAGATTTTTTTCATTATATCAAGAAAATGTGAACGTACGAAAGGTATTCGGTGTTTAGAGTTTCTGGGATGACATTTTGCCGTCACTATTTCTAATAACTTTGACACAACAGTGAAATACAATTCCATATTAATTTTCAAGTATTGGTTTTGTAGGGATTTTGTTTGATTGCATGGAGGATTTCATCATGAGCTGACATTGGATAGGGTCCCAGTGGCTTAATGGTCTACGAGCTCACCTTGTAACCCCACTCCTGGCTACAATTTGATTACTCATCACAGTTTTAAAATGTCATGACAATAATAAACCTAATTTATTTTTATTCCTATTGGACAAACCTAATGTACACACACGTACTAAATTAAGTATATATGAATGCGATTGCAGAAATTTGAATGAATTTTCTGGAAAGAGACTCCTTGCTGAACTATGTGTTTTGTTTTCCAAACACTTAAAGTTCATCAAAGACATCTCTTCGGGAATCGCTGAAAAAATACCTCTGCTAAATCTTCAGTTTTCTCTTTCACGTCATGAGAAGTATGTTCAGTGATTCAAAATTATTTTTTTATTCAAGTGTTGGTTTGTAGGGATTTGATTGGTTACAGGATTTCATCATGAGCTGGCATTGGTTAGAGAATCATTGGAAAACCTGGGAGTACTGGACAGCTGTTTCCGTTGTTCTAGTTTGGGACTCTTCAGAAGTATGCACCCACACCACGGGGTTCGAACCCAGGACCTTCTAGTTACAAGGTGAGCTAGCTCGCATACCATTAAGCCACTGGGACCCGATCCAATGGCTCATGAATTGTAACTTCTGCCAATTCACGACCTACCGCAACCCCTAGCCAATGTCTTCGGCGAGTATTCGTCCTCACACCCGACCTGCTGCACCCTACTGGTCTTGATAATCTAATTTACTCAAAAACTATCACAATTACTCAATATTCTCATAATTTTCAACTATTGGTTTGTAAAGATTTGATTAACTGGTTACAGGGTTTCATCATCAGCTGGCATTGGTTAGAGAACCATTGGAAAACCTACAGGGAGTACTAGATAGCTGTTTCGCCCTAGTTTGTGACTCTTCTTCAGTAAGCAATTTAAAATGCTAAAACAACATTTCCTTTCAATGCTGTTGTCTTTACAAAGTTAAACGACAGCTGACGATGTTAAATAAACATAATTATGTGGCCACGAATAAAATATATACGTATATATGGTCTACGAGCTAGCCTTGTAACCAGAAGGTCCTGGGTTCAAACCCCGGTGGGTGCGTACTGTGAAGAGCCCCAAACTAGGACGAAACGGCTGCCCTGTATCCATGTAATTTATTCATCAGAACAAAATAGTTAGGGAAAACAATTGTGGTTTCAATAAATTCTTCCTCCATCAGGCTCTACAATTATAAATCCATTAATTTAAGCATGCAGTAGCCAGTCAGAAAAGGCAAATTAGAGTCATATCAGAAAGTGTATTGTGGAAAAAGTATAAGATGGGATGGAACAATAGTCAGTTAGCTTTTAGTATGCATGGTCATTGAGAACATGAGACAAATTCCTATTTGAATGTTTTTTTTTCTTTTTTCTTCTTTTTCTGTTTCATTGAGGAACATGCATGTCTGACCTTTTACGACTTCATGACCTTTCTTATGATTTAAGTAATGCTTTTCTAAATTGTTATCATGTTTACAAAATCCTGTTCATTTCACTTCACCAAATTCATTATTATTTGATAGTCGTTCACCAATAGTACTTTTAAGTTTACTCCACATCATCGACACTATTTCACAATCATTATTATTAAAAGTCCATCTGAGTGAAGAATATTCTTTTCAATAATTTCTCCTCTTCAGGTTCTTACAATTATAAAATATGTAATATTTATTGTCCTTACAATAATGCGAGCCAGTTATACGACGGATACATTTTTTAACGTAGAATAACAGATTAGTTATGGGATGTCAAAATAAATAGTAGTATTTGTGTGACAAACGTGCTAGGCTGAAATCGATTACTAAAATATTGTAAAATGGGAGACAATGGTGGTGGTGATTAGTCATAATAGATTTGCAGTGTGGGTTAGGAAAATTGACAAGTCAGTCAATTCAAGGTTATAAAAGGTGTCAGGTGAGTGAGTGGCTAGTACAAAGTGGTCTGCGTTAAAGAGGAGATAGTCAGACTGTAATGAGAGATTCATAATGAAATGACCAATGTACGAAATGAAGCAAGTGGAGACATATATTATAAATATATAGATTATTTCATCTCATTTTGTCCCATGTTCTCATTGACCATGCATATTCAAAACTAACTGACTATTGTTCCATCCTATCTTATACTTGGTCCACAATACACTTTCTGATATGATTCTAATTTACCTTTGCTAGCTGGTTATTGTATGCTTAAATTAATGGATAATTGTAGAGCCCTGATGGAGGGAGAATTTACTGAAACCACAATTGTTCGCTGTAACTATTTTTCTCCGTATCACTATTCTTTAAAATTTTACTTCGGAATCAGCAATGAACTCTGAAGACCATGTTTGGATCTTTTGTGTTAAAAAGGCTATCTGGCGATTCTCCTCAGGGATTCAACTATAGGGAACCAACATGAAAAAGTTAATACTTGGATTTTCATAGTTGGGTCCCTCCGGCAAGAAAGAGAAATTAAGCTCACTCCTTACCTTAAAAAATTAGACAGATATGCTCCAGTGATATCATTGGTGATAAAGTGGAGAAACTCAGACAAGTCCTCATTGAAAATAGATATCGTACAAGATTGTCTGACAGGAGTCAGACAAGGGTGCTTATTATCTATCACCAATGATATTCCTAATTGTGGTGGGCTGACTGGATTATGCGTCAGACAGTGGGAAACGAGAAGACAGGGATATCCCGGACCGACGTAAAGAACCTAGAGGACCTGGATTTCGCGCTTGGATAATTTATGTTTGATGTCACACAAAATCGAAGACTTACAAGCGAGAAACGACAAACTGGTCGAAGAAGCAGACAGTGAAGACAGGACTCCAGGTGAACATACACAATAACAGCAATAACATCTGGCGTCAATCACCGTCAACGGGAGTGATTTGAAAGAGGTTACTTCATTCATTCACTTATCTAAGGAGCATTGTCTCAACTGCAGGCAGTCGGAACGAACGAGGATGTCAAATCGAGCGAGAATCGGGAAGACAAGAAACATATCAACATCATCAACCTGAAACCAATCTGGAAATCTTCGTCACTCAGCCAGGATCAACAACAAAATTCGGTCGGACTTTCAATGCAAACAAGGTCAAGTCACTTCTTCTATACGGACCAGGAACTTGGAGGGTCACAAAGAATATTTCCAACAGGCTAACTCAGACCTTCATCAACAACTGTCTTCGCTCTATACTGAAGATCAGATGGCCGGGCCAAAAAGAATCACCAACAAGAAACTATGACTTGGGACAAACAAACAAACAAAACAAGAACCAATCGCCCAACAAATATGCAGGAGAAAGTGGAGATGGATTGGACACTCGCTCGCTGAGGAGGCTGCTGGGTGACATCTTGCGCGCGTCAGGCCATTTCTCGAGCGGAACCAGGCCGAAAGGGAAGTGGCGAGTGGGACGTCAGTGCAAGTGTGACATGGAGGAGATCGTGTGAAGAGGAGCTGAAAAAGTATGGACTAACATGGATGCAGGTGAAAAGTACAGTAGAAGGAAGACAGAAGTGGCAAGTGGAGAGGTGCAGTTGAAGCCCTATGTTCCACTGGCAACCCAAGGGAACAATAATAATAATATCCAAACACTTCCAAAGAAAGTGCCATTTATGAATTTTTCTTCTCTTTTACCTTATATGTATAACAAGTACGTGTTTTTGTGTGAGATCAGAATGTCGAAAATGTGTCTCACAAATAGATTATGGAATCCAGATAAATTGCGTCTACTTTTGTTTTGTAAAAATTTATAGAGGGGACTAACTGTTCCACATATAGAATTGTTACTATAAGGTGGACGGGGGAAATGTTACATTTGGAAGACGACGGCGAATGAGAGTTAGTAAAAGCCCTTCAGAATCTAGATGGTAATAGATGGTGGATAGATCTGTGGTATTTACTGTAGGGAGTTTAAAGCTGTATTGCTAATAGCCTCCAACCAGAGTTTTTATAAAAGCTTATAAGTACATTTGCTTTAACATGAATGAAGTGTTTCAGGCGTCTCCTAGATCCATTAAATCCTCATGTTTCTCCACGTAATTATCCTTTCTCCCGTAGACAACTGCTCAATGCAGTTCTCTAGAATATTAGTTGGAGGATTTCATTGTGAGCTGACATCAGTTAGAAAACCATTGGAAAACCTACAAGGAGTACTGGACTGCCAGTTGTTTCGTCCCAGTTTTGGACTCTTCACAGTACGTACCAGGCGCCAGGGGTCGAACCTGTGACCTTCTAGTGAAAAAGCTAGCGAGCTCGTAGACCATTAAGCCACTGCGACCCAATCCAATGGACAGCCCATGAATTCTAACTTCCGCCAGTTCATGACAAAGCGTGACCATTTCGCAATGTCTTCTTCTATGAGTAACTGCCTCACCTTCAACCTGCTGCACCCTACTGGTCACGGCTTCCCACCCACCAGGTAATTACGTACCTGAATAGGGCCAGTCGCTAGTCAGCATCAGATCCTCCAACCAATCAAACAAAATCCAATATTTGAAAATTCACTAGAATATCTTTTTTTCAACCTTTGTGTACTACATGGAGTATGTCAACTATAACTGGTGCACTTTTGTGTTCAAACTCAGTCAGTCACTCAGAACCAGATGTCAGTGACCATTGTGACAAATACAATTGGTTATGGTTATTTCAACTAAACAGGTGAATATTGGTAATACAAGTCAAGAAAATTAGGTCTTAATGAAATTAGGGTAGTAACAAAGGTGATGAGTTGTCACAAACAGTTGTTAAAAGAAGTTATGTAATAATATGAATGAGTGAGTTTTACTCAGGATGCACATAGAAACAAAGCAGATAATACGAAATTGTGTAAGAGATCTAAATGAATACAGGAATTATAAGCAATCAAAGAACAGGCAAAGAAACAAAATCAAGTCATCAAAATCAACAAAGTTGTTATCATGACAGTAGAAGTGGTTGAGTAACTCTCTTTTTTGCATGTAAAGCTCCTGTTTTTCTATGTGAATGGCCAGGGCTTCAGAGATACAAAGGAGACGAAACCGTATTGCCTTTGATAGGTTATTCTTGACTCTGTAGATTACTTTGAAGGGGGCGTTTGTTGAAATGGAGTGATTAGTGTTAATCAGGTGTTCAATTTTCGCACTCCTTATTGCACCACTATTGCCTTTTCCCAACCATGCTGGCTGTATAGTGTTCTTGAATCCTCTTGGACAGGATGCGTGTCGATTGCTTAGTGGCAAGCCTCGAGAGAGGCCCACTAAAGACAAGCATTGACAATTTGCGACTGTATAAAAGATACGTGGACGACATTTTCATTATTTGTGACAACAACAACGACCCCAGTCTGCTGCTAAGGACATTTAACAATTGCCATCCAGCAATAAAATTCACTCTTGAAATGGAAAACGAATCAAAAATTCCGTTTCTTGATGTGGAACTAACATTTGCGTCGGTGGCACAGTGGTTAGGATTTTCGCCGACCATGCACATGGTCCGAGGTTCGAACACCCGCCGACGCACACCTGATATCTATGGTCGACCTGCAAAATTTGGGCTACCTATATCCATGCTGAAAATTCCATACTTGTACCAAAAATACAGTGTGGAATCAAGCTGTAAATGAAAAATAAAAAAAAAGAAGAACTGATCGGAGCCTAAGAAGATCGATCCAGGGAAAAGCTATTTGTAATGGTCAACTAACAAGCTTCTATAGCTGGGTACCCATTCAACAAAAGCGGAATTTAATTAAATCACTTGCCACCAGCATCCAACGCATCTATAGCCCCGACGTTCTAGAAACAGAATTAGATATTCTAAGAGAAATCTTCATCCAAAATGGATACCCAATAAGATTCATCCACAAAAATATAAAACGAATAATTCGGAGAAACGAAACTTTAATTGAGCCTAAAAAGATACTCTACATGAACTTGGATTTCAAGAGAGATTTAGCAAGCGATATTCTCAAGAGAAGGATCACATCATCTCTGAGAGGAACATTCTTTGCAGCAACGCTAAGAAAAGTATTCTCCAGTCGCCCACTGACCTGCAGAAGCCTCAAGAACAAAATCCCGCATCTGGCCACTTCTATGTGCATATATCAGTTCATTTGCTACTGTGGAGCCAGATTCATCGGTCGTTCGACGCACATCCTGTCCAAGAGGATTCAAGAACACTATACAGCCAGCATGGTTGGGAAAAGGCAATAGTGGTGCAATAAGGAGTGCGAAAATTGAACACCTGATTAACACTAATCACTCCATTTCAACAAACGCCCCCTTCAAAGTAATCTACAGAGTCAAGAATAACCTATCAAAGGCAATACGGTTTCGTCTCCTTTGTATCTCTGAAGCCCTGGCCATTCACATAGAAAAACAGGAGCTTTACATGCAAAAAAGAGAGTTACTCAACCACTTCTACTGTCATGATAACAACTTTGTTGATTTTGATGACTTGATTTTGTTTCTTTGCCTGTTCTTTGATTGCTTATAATTCCTGTATTCATTTAGATCTCTTACACAATTTCGTATTATCTGCTTTGTTTCTATGTGCATCCTGAGTAAAACTCACTCATTCATATTATTACATAACTTCTTTTAACAACTGTTTGTGACAACTCATCACCTTTGTTACTACCCTAATTTCATTAAGACCTAATTTTCTTGACTTGTATTACCAATATTCACCTGTTTAGTTGAAATAACCATAACCAATTGTAATTTTGTTTGACAAACTTAATGTACACATACATACAAAGTAACAATATATATATATATATATATATATATTTGCGATTGTACAACTAAGTAAATGAATTCGCCGAAGAAAAACAGGAGTTTAACTAAATCTGTTCAGATTTGGATAGTTTAAATTACCTTAATTCTTGCAAAATCGATTACCATCTAATCTTTTTTTCTATTTGACCTCTTTGTTTTTTGCTTCGCTTCGCTTTTTTCATAAATATTTTAAGTGGACAATGACCTCACAGGTGTGTGCATTCTGCCCAATTTGCATAGTTACATAATATCTTTGTTTTACTTAAGTATATACATAACACTTTTTTCTACTTATACTAATGCTACTGGAATTTCATTTTTAGAACTATTATATTCGAATTGAATACTCGATGCTATCCTTTCGAAGAATTTGATATATGCGAGTATATTCAGTATCTACGCGCTGGTGAAAGGGATGAAGGCGGTGAGCATTGTATACCAAGATCTGTGAAGGTAAATTTTTTTTTCCGTAAATGAGTAAAATTTATTATTTGATCAATGTTATGATTAAATACAATTATTACTTATTGCTTACTATAATATATCCAATTTAAAATCTCTGGATAGCTGGCTAATTTCCAGTTGAGTGGTGAAATTACAGCGTGGTTTCCTTTGGGACAGATCACTGCTGGTTGATATAGGCAGCAGTAGACAACTACTCAACTCAGTTAATCAGTAGTATGTTTATTTATTTATTTAAACGCAGAAAATTCTTAATACAATATGGCACTAAGAAAGATGCGCCACACAATAATAATAAAACAACATACATTAAAAGTAAAGAATATAAGTAGAGAGCGGATAAAGAACTTCATCTGGAAGGAAAACAGTCATGCTTAACAAGTTCAAACAGTATTCGTTAACTATCATCAGGAAGGGAAGAAAGACGAAATTGCAACACGTTCGCCATTGATTACGATTCTTGGCCATATCCGATAACGTTTCAAGTCATCGATTCGAGCTATCTCCCGGACCCCAATCAGGGAGTCGTGAGGCACCAATCGATGCTAATCTAGCACAAATATCCTTCATCCCTCGATGCCACGTCATAGACTCACCACCCCTCCACCTTTTCCATCCCGTCCCAGGGCTAGCGAACAAAGACCTGTACGGAAGCCTCTGGGATGACATGTCCAAGCCACCGGAGCCGGTGTTTCCAGATGACGACACTGAATGAATAGTGATCTCCACTGTGTTCAAAAACACGCCACCGAACCTCAGAACTACTCACGCGATGATGCCATCGAACACGGGCAAGCAATCCTGCGGAGACAGCGACGATCGAACACGCAGAGTCGCCGCCACACATCCTCAGCTCGGAGAGGCCAGGTTTCACAGGCCTGGCGTAGAGCAAGACAGCCCGCACCGAAGCATTGTATACCCGACCTTTGATAGTCAGGCTAACGTCGCAACGACGCCAGAGGTGGCTCAAGTTGATGTATCCCACGCTAACCTTCATTATACGGTTGAAAATCTCATCTGTCACTCCTCCGCCAGCACTCACACAACCACCCAGATACACAAACCTATCAACAACTTGAAGCGGTTCACCTGTCTGTCTGTCTGTTTTCGACACAGAACTTTGCAAAAATGTGCGGAAGTTCAAGTCGCCACATTCCGTGTAGCACGCGAAGCAAAAGAAGAAAGTACAAGAAAAGCATAATAGAAACAGTGAGCAGAGGTGTGAGACAAAGGAGTAATAAAGAAATACAAAACAGTTTCATTGGAGATCACAAGTCACAGGAGTGGATGCATCTGCGCCACTGAGAACGATTTTGAGCCATGTCACCAATTGTTTCCAACCATAGATTTTTACCGTCCCGAGGACCCCAGCCTGGAAGTCTACACCTTCCTACGTGGCTTAGACCAACTGTTGTGGATTTCATTGACTGATGCCAAGTTTTTGTTTGACCGCCGCTAGCTTTTTTCCAGCCTGACCCTATATCCGCTAACATAGCTCGTCGAGGGAGGCGATGACTTGGCATACGTAACACATGTCCTAACCATCTCAGTCTTTGTAGCTTCACGACTTCGTCGATTGATTTCCCCTGTTTACCTAGAACTCTACGCCTAACCTCCATGTTGCTCACCTTATTATGCCACTTTACACTGGAAATAGAACGCAGGCACCTGCAAGAGTGAATGCAGGTACAGGCTCCTGCGAATCTTGTAACAGTCGCTAGTGAGCATCAGTAGGGTACAGCAGGTTGAAGATGAGGCAGTAACTCATCGAAGAAGACATTGCGAAATGGTCGCGCTATGTCGGAATTTGACAGAAGTTACAATTCAAGAACCATTGGATCGGGTCCCAGTGGTCTACGAGCTAGCTCGCCTTGTAACCAGAAGGTCCTGGGTTCGAACCCCGTTGGTGGGTGCGTACTGATGAAGAGTCCTAAACTAGGACAAAACAGTTGTCCAGTCCTGCGTGTAGATTTTCCAGTCGTCCTCTAACTCATGTCAGCTCATGATGAAATCCTTCATACAATCAAACAAAATCCCTGCAAAACCAATACTGGAAAAGATAACTGTTTCATTTAAGTTTGGAACTATTCAACGATACATATCCGCTACCCTACCAGAGATGCAAGCCATTATCTGTTTTACGAGACCAGTCTGCTGAACATCACAACCACTAGATTGGAATTTAATTATGTGTAAACTCTAATTTCTGTCATATCATGATGTAGAGCTTCCGTCAACCAACGCCATCAATGAGCAGTTGCTTCACGCATTGGCCACGACGTTTTTTCATTAGGACTTCAAGATATCCATCCTCATGTCAACAGTGAGCTGGATATAATATTTCAGATTTGCAGTTTTTCAAGAATTACTTCGCAGAGATTTGATTGGTCTGAAGTTTGATCAGGTACCGGGGTCAGTTAGAGAATCATTGAAATCTATGAAATAATAGAGTGTCGTTTCAATCTAGTTTGGGACTCTCCACTAGTACACACCCACAAGAGTGCGAATTCAGGACCTCCAGATTATAAGGAGATCACGTAGACCATTAAGCCACTGGGATCCAATGCAATTCGTGATTTAAGAGCGACCACCGGCTAATGTCACCACTGGGTATTTGGCTTTCACGCCAGACGCGGTTGACCCAACTTTTCACTAGAACTCCAAGCAACTTCATTCTATAGCCAGTCATATTAGTGAGTTTCAGATTCATTTTCAAGAGTTACTGGTATCTAGGTGACATCAATCCATGAACAAATTTTAAGTTAGACTAGTTTCAGTTTAGGTCTCGTTAACAAGCGCCTTTATTGAATTCTATTCCTTACTTAATTCAAGTACTATGAAAAGAGTGCAAAATAAGTGAGACTATTTGTTTCTTTTTCAAAGCAAGACAAAATTCAAACTATTACGCAATCTTTTTCTCCTTTCTTATTTTTAAAAACGAAATACATAGAATTTAATGCAAAGCTGTTGGTCAGGTGATCCAACAAAAAGACCATCAATGAATACTATTTCACAAGAATTAGTCAGAAGTGTAAGTTGTAAATGTTTTATTTGATAAATAAAATTAAACAAAATTGATGAATAAATAAGAGAAAAACTGTTTGTGTTCAACTCAATTATTCCGTTGATGTTTGAGGATTAATTTAAAGTAATATGTTGAATGGTGACTAGCGTTGGAATCCAGGATGCACATTTCGTCCTGTTTATGACTCGTCATCTCGATGCGTCTGCAATCCACAGTGGGTGATGTTCTGTCTGAGGTTCGGACCCAGTTCCCCTCATTTCAGAGTTTGAAACGATGATTACTGGGGTTCGAGTCTCAAGGAGAACCTCGTCTTGGATTGCAGGTACATCCAGATGACGAGTCACAAACAGGACGAAATGTGCATCCTGGATTCCAACGCTAGTCACCATTCAACAAATTACTTTAAATTAATCCTCAAACATTGTTGATGCGTTCGGACTAGGGAGACTACATCTCAACAGAGACCAAACATTTCATTTCAACCAATCAATCAATTGTGTAGTCACAATTGACACGATTATGAACAATGAATTTCGTCCGTTACTTTGCCATCGAGTAATGAATGCTATTACACTGTGTGATCGATCTATTTAACAAATCAACACGGAATAATCTTACTACCACCTATCACGTTATTCTGCTTCACACGAGAGACTGACCTGAGACACCTAACGATTATGTCCCAGTCATGTAGAGCAGGACGTCACCGCACAGACACGCCATGCAGAGTGCGTATATAGATGACATTGATTAGCGAATGCCAAATGTGTCTTATGAATCCTCAGTGAGCTTTCATTAGAAAGCATCCCATTGTGAATGATGCAAATTTTCGAATGAGTGAATAGCTGAACGCATTCAATAAACACGTTCAACAAACTACCAATCAAACCTACTGAGATCATTGTCCAGAAGACTGTATTTTGTCAGTGTCTTCACTTAAGACGACTTTACATCAATGAAACTTTTCCCATGTAGCCAGTCAATCTCTGAAACCTCATGTCCTTATCAAAAGCTGGTACTCCGCGTCCGTTCAGGAACGGGCATACATACACGTGTATGGAAAAGAGATGAATCCTTAACTACGAGAATTGCGTAAGACAAGATCAATCTTATTTGTTCTTTGGTATGTGACTTTGTAGATACTTCGCAAATGCTTTCTGGACTAATCGAGCTTATCACCAGTAAGGCTACTTTTACTTTAAATATCCAGACCATAGATGTCACAAATTTCCTGGAGTAATCTGAGCGCAGAGTTAGACTGAATCATTATTAAAATGTACTATCATCAGTAAACTAAAGAGCTACTCACGAAAATTCATTCTTTCTTACGTCCGAGCTGCACAACCGGTAAGTAGTAAGTGAGAAGAGATTACAAAATGAAATCGATGAATTTCTTGATGGACCCATTCAGCCGACTATCCCGTCGGCTCCAACAGAGTAGTCGCCATTCCATTATTTACCTCAATACCACCCCCACACCAGCAAATCGACGAGGACTAGCCAAAAATACTACCCCTTGACTTTTATACAATCGCCATGTTAAACAAAAATTAAGAAAGTGAATAACTACATTTGGGTCGAGTGGTATGCATACTGCGATAATATGAACTACATCTAATCCTTGAATTCTACCTAATGTGCACTGGTACACAACTTAGCATAAATTGTAGCAATATTATGTTAAGAGGCATAGTTCCAAGTGACTAGTAAGGGTGTTTTCCATGGCTCCGATTGACGAGTAATAGACACACAGTAAAAACAAAAGTATAAACAGACTTTTCGACTACAAACTGTCTTCAAATCTCGTGTGTGGCACAGTGGTTATACCTGTCGCTGACCATGCGCGCATGGTACGAGGTTCGATTCCCTGCCGACGCGCGCACTTGATATCTATGGTCGGACTGCGAAATTTGGGCTACGGATATCACATGCTGAAAATTCCATACTTGTACTAAAAATACGATGTGGAATCAAGCTGTGATCAAAATAAAATAAATTATAATAACGAGCATTTTGTTCTCTTTCTAAACATTTCAGCATATATTGTACAAACGTCAAAACTCTGATCCAGTTCCCAAAAGATCTACAAGATATCCTGTGAATGGATTTTGAACCCAGTATCAAATGGAGAGATTAAAAGCGAGACTTTTAGAGAAAAAACAACAACAACAGAGGAACCACTATATTACAATATTATCCTATTTAGGAACAAATGATTTTTTTAAAACTGCGATATATCACATCCTCCACAATGTATAATAAATACCCTAGTTGTATCTACTTTAGTTTTAACAATATACGATAAACACCTGATTACATTGTCTTCTCATTCTATATGGAGTAGTGAAGAATCCGGTTCTTTTTATTAGTTTGACGAAAGAAAGAACAAACATATTTGCAAGGTGATTAATTTTTATTCCTTTAGGTTGCCAGTAGAACATAGGGTTTCAAGCCAGAGGTTTGAAGTTTCAGTAGCAGTGGTATTTATCTTTACGGGATGGGGTTGCTAGCCTCATGCACAACCTCCCTTCTTTACCAGTCTTATTACTGGCTTAGTGAGGTAGAGCAGTGCGGCGTCGGCCGGAGAGAGGTTTCGTGTGCATTTCGGATTGTGAGGGCGATTGTTACTTCCCGGCTGCCCACATCGTGGAAGTTGGTTGCATGACCGCAGAGACCAGGCAACAACTGCTTGAGGCCGGTCACACGCGGCCTGTTTTCGTTTGTTCTTTATTGCTTGGTGTGTCTCAATAGCATATTTATCACAAACATGAGAGAGCCAGGCAGGCTTTAGACCAGGAAGAGGGTGTATTAATCATATCTTCACCCTCCGACAGATTCTAGAACATAGTCATTCCTACCGGCGTCCAACAGTCATTATATTTCTTGACCTAAAGGCAGCATTCGACTCTGTCGATCGGGAAGTTCTCTGGAGATGCTTGGCTGTAAAGGGAATGACGAGAAAATATATTGCACTGATTAAGGCACTCTACTCGTACTCATACAGCCAGGTGAGGGCTTACGGCGAGCTGTCATCTGAACTGATGACGACCAGTGGTGTCCGTCAAGGATGCCCATTATCTCCTTTTCTATTCAACTTCATCATAGATGTGTTAATGGACTTAACCCTAGGTGACTTCAGCGACTCAGGGATTGACTTGCTACCAGGGAATAATCTCGTTGACTTGGAATATGCAGACGATATAGTCCTTCTAGGCGAAGACGCTGACGAAATGCAGAGTCTTCTAAACACCTTGAGCCGCAATCTACGAATGTTTGGCATGCGATTCGCTCCCGCCAAATGCAAGATGATGTTACACGACTGGACTACATCGACGCCTAGTTTAAAAATAGGAGGTGAAGTGGTGGAGCACGTTGACCGCTTCACTTATTTGGGAAGTACCATCAGCCCCAACGGGCTGATCTCTGACGAAATCTCAGCACGAATACAAGGGGCTCGTTTCGCATTTGCCAGTTTACGCCGACTCTGGCGTAGACGAGATGTTCGACTATCGAGCAAAGGGCGGGTGTACTGCTCATCAGTCCGCTCCGTCCTCCTTTATGGCCAGCTGTGAGACCTGGCCACTGAGAGTGGAGGACATGAAAAGACTAGCTGTCTTTGATCATAGGTGCCTGCGCTCTATTTCCTGTGTAAAGTGGCATAATAAGGTGAGCAACATGGAGGTTAGGCGTAGAGTTCTAGGTAAACAGGGGAAATCAATCGACGAAGTCGTGAAGCTACAAAGACTGAGATGGTTAGGACATGTGTTACGTATGCCAAGCCATCGCCTCCCTCGACGAGCAATGTTAGCGGATATAGGGTCAGGCTGGAAAAAAGCTAGCGGCGGTCAAACAAAAACATGGCACCGGTCAATGAAACCCACAACAGTTGGTCTAAGCCACGTAGGAAGGTGTAGACTTCCAGGCTGGGGTCCTCGGGACGGTAAAAACAAATGGTTGGAAACAATTGGTGACATGGCTCAAAATCGTCGTTCTCAATGGTGGGCGCAGATGCATCCACTCCTTGTAACTTATGATCTCCAATGAAGCTGTTTTGTTTTTCTTTATTACTCCTTTGTCTCACACCTCTGCTCACTGTTTCTATTATGCTTTTCTTGTACCTTCTTCTCTTGCTTGCTTCGCGTGCTACACGGAGTGTGGTGACTTGAACTTCCGCACATTTGTGCAAAGTACTATGTCGAAAACAGACAGACAGATATTTATCACTTCTGCCCTGTGACACGGCAGCAGGAAGCGCGGTCGTTGTTAATCCAGGCCCCAACCGATCCGGGATGATATTTTGTTCGAGTCATAGCGTTGGATTTGGGTAGCTGCTTTTTGCTTAACCACTATCCAAACAACCTTTCGTGTATGGTAGGACCTGCAGTGACATAAGTCTCAGCCAGTATAGCTTGTTGGATCATTGCGGTGTTCAAGCTCGAGCACCACGCCAGCCGGAGATAGAACCCCGAACCACGTGAGGTGTGGTTGGCGAGCATTCTACCTCATTTACACCAATACACACAAGATAATACGAAGTCATATAATTTTACTTTACTAATCACCCCAACCTTCTTGAACTTTCTATCATTATACATTGTATAAATTCACTCTGTCGTTCTATCTTGTATTTTGTCTCTAGTCCATCCTTGTTTCCAAACAAAATCTGAACTCAACCCCCTCACCTAATTATTATATAAATACTCTCAAAGCACTGAATAATTCCTCCACTTAAATCATCTTTGGAATTAAGTTGCTTATACTTGTTATCTAGAGCTCGAAGTCATTGTGAAAATTATGTTCGGACATCATTTTATAACGTATAATTGATTTTGTCTAGGATCTAAACAGTTAAAGAGAATCAACGGAGTAAAACGAGCTTGTATTATCCCGCAAACAGGTTCGCTCTTTCTTTATTCAATTCAAACTAACGAATTATCTTTCTTCAACATTTTATTATTGAGCTTACACGCCAACAAACTCGAGTGTGTGTGTTCCTGTTTATCATGTACCAGGTTATCAGAAGCATATTTTCTTTCTGTGATGGATGATTATACCATCAAAGTTGCCCAAACTGTTAAGTACGGGTATGGAATTCAGTTCGAACCTGAGATCTATTGGCTGGCTTAAAGCGGAGTGCTTATAATACCGATGAGTCACAACTTCAATGACACGCTCTCCGCCCCCTCCCCAACTAGGTAATACGTCTAGTAAACATAAGACAGACAGACATTCCATATTATATGGAATTACTTACTACCACAATGCCCAAATTTTACACATATATTAACAGGCAGACATTCGCAAAGTTACTGAGAGACTAGAAGAAAAAAATCAAAGCTTATATAAATAATACTTTCTTTTATAATTGACTCACTAATATGTTAGAAGTGTGGAATATTTACACGATTTTATATTGGGATAGAAAAGAAAGAGAATAAGTAGCGTAAAGTATACTATCGTATAATAAGGAACAGTAGTATGTCAAATTTCAGAAAAAAATTGAGTACAAGAAGGAAAATCTAGTTCGATGAGCTTCTTACTGAATGAAGTAATTCTCCGTAAATAGGCAGAAAATATGTATAGTGTGTTGAAACAGGAAATTAAAAAACACAATGAATTACTGTTAAATTTTTGTGTTATTCAAACACCGAGCATTGAATAAATATCTCGGTCATCGTCTCTGCCAGAACGACGTCGACCAGAATATGGACGTTCATTTGTATTTCCACGATTTGAATTCGGATGAGGGAATTTTGGATGAGTTGGGGGTATTGAACTATGACGTCTAGGATCTAAAGGATGTTGATGACTGACAAATGGTCGTCTAGGAAAGGAGTTCATTGAAGGGTGCATAAATTCTGTAGTGTTGCCTGGGTAGCGAATACCAGGGTCAGGCAAAGATGACATTTTTATTTGCTGATGAGAAGGATCCTTATACGGAATCTCGGGGAGAATATTGTTGCCAATAGCAATGGGATCAGAGTTAGGCCGATGACGAGGGGAGCTTGTTGCGAAATGTGGGAGACCAAAGTTATCTTGAATAATACGACTAGGTGATCCTAGATGTCTTGGCCTATATTCCAAGTTCCTATTATCAGGATGGTGGCTTCGAGACGACATCCCTAGCTTATATTGTGCAGATAGAGAAGTTAATAAACTTGGCATATTAGGATGAGGATGTTGTGATCTGTGAGTGAATAGTATACGTTGAGATGTAGGAAGGGGTGGTGGAGGAGGAGGTGGAGAAATAACAGGATTAGGTGTGGATTTTTGTGCATCAGCTTGATTATTACAGAATGCTTCTTGGCTCTTTGACTTAGATCGCATTGCTAAGTCATATATGCGTGCAATACGCGTATCAAGATCTTCAGTGGATGAAGGAACAAAAGGTATTTCTTCACCAGAATTATCGTTGACAGAAGAAGAAGACTGGATATTTACCTTGTCTGATTTTGTGTCAACATTCTCAGAAGAGAGTTGATTGTTGCTTGACTGCTGAGAAGCATCGCCTTTATTTGCCTCATCTTCTGTGGTAAGAGCGGAGTTAAGATATCGTTGATAGTGTTCCAGAGGATGAGGAAGAGCATGAGGACTACGACCTCCGTGGGGTGGTGTTCGTGTTTCTCGTGAAATATTATTCAACATATCAGGAATATTTCGACAATCTAAAACAGAATGCAAATGTCTATTATATGATGAATTCTCTGGAACAATTCCATTATTTGTAACATGACGAATATGAGGAATATCTGTTGCTGCCTTCAAAATCATATCAGGATCACAACGAGTTGGAACGTAGGGTTTATAGAGTGGGGGTGAATCTTCAGAAGGATGAAGCGAATGTGGTATATATGCACGCGAAGAACATTGGGGTGGCGTCGCCTCTAGATTTGTACGGAGATATGGATTAAACGATGAAATAAACTTGGGTAGTAAATTAGTATGACTGCCTTGTGTATTTTGCATTTTCACACCCTGGAACACAGGATAGGGATACTGAGGATTGTTGGTGATCAGAGGACGAGGGGGAGGAGGATGTACACCTGAATATGCTGTCGGTTGACCGCAATCAGGAATCGGCGTTCCCATCGTAAATAAGTTGGGTCGACTAGGTATTAGCTGAGATATATTATTGGCCTTTAAGAAGTTATCAGATTCAGAGGAAGTATGACGGCTGGGAGATGTACCATCAACTTTTTGGATGCGAACACTTGATCCTTTTTGCTCTTCATATTCATCTAAGACATCAAGATCATTCATATCATCGATGGTCGGTGAATCAATAGCATCATTAGCTGCATCATCAGTAGGAGACTTGGTGGATTGTTGAGAATGAGTTGAACTAATAGGTGCGTCTTCAGGAAGAGGAATATCTCGTATGCATACATCTGGTTGGTTATTTACTTCATCAGATGAAGGAATTAATGGCGACTGTGATTTATACATCGTTGAGACAACAACAGTTTCAGAATCACGATTTATGGGGACAGACGATGAAGATGACGACGATGTGACAGTCATACTTACATCGTATCTTTCATTAGCCTGAGATGAATTCGGTGTTGCATCCACTGAAGACGGAGATTGTAAAGTTTCTGAATTACTTTTTACTGTTTCACTATGAATTATTTTACTGCTACTAGTATTAATATTATTATTATTGTTATTATCATGTACAATATCCTTTGTAGGACGACTTGTTAACTGAAATAAATCAGCCATTGTCTTAGGTCCAGTATAAGGAGGAACCGAAGCCATAGAAGTGGATTCAGTGTCGTCTGATGCATCATATTTATTTAATCCAGCAGAATGCTTTTTTACATGATGCTGTTGATGTTTAACCAATTCAGCATGAGCTAAATCCAACTAAAGAGGGAAACAAAAGTGAAAAATAATCGATTAAGTAAATGATTACTGATCACAAAATACTACATAGAATAATTTATATCGCAGAATATTTAAAAACAACATGAGTATTACATGGAATACAGTCATTGAGTAACTTAACTTGAACTAAATTTATATTTACTATTGTTTAGTTAAACAAAAAGTATGCATTAACAGAGTCATATTTGTAAATAGTGAGGGAAAGGGATATATGCTTAATTTAATTATGTATTTCCTGCTCATTGATTGCACCGAAATGTGGCGCCTTTGTTATCATGCCCATCAAATAACATGTTATTCCTCAGACATAGTCAAAGTGCCTGTACATGTCAGAAGACACCGGAAACTTCAGTCGAAATATAACCAGTCAATGGGAAAAACAAACAAAATTACACGCATAATTAATGATTTCCGTTGCATAAGAGGTGGCTTTGTCATAACCCAAGTGGCCTAGTGGATAACGCTATGGAGCTTGAAATGATGAGTTCTAGGGTTTTGGTCTCGACGGCAACACCATCACTCACACTGAGAATCCACTACCTAACGAGTCCTGAATATGACGAAATGCACGTCCTAAATTCCACTGAGAATTACTATCTGCCATATAGCAAAAAGTAATCTGTATGGTGTGGATTTATTAATTAGTAAGAAGGAACCAAAGATCATCGATTTAGTCATTAGTGCTCGTGCTGGCTGGTTTCAATCAGTCAAGTTTACCAGATGGTCAATAATCCATGTGAAAAGTTAAGTGGTTGGTTGGAGGGGATCAGTAAGGATCACTGCATATACATTTCATGCTCATTGTTCACTTGTCGCACCGGGCAGTATTTGCAACCTCGAATGATCTCATATAAAGCTAGTCAATACAAGAGCTGGGGAAATCAGTCGATAGGATTTTTAACATCATTATGGTCAACTTTGCAGTGAAAATGATGACTGGGATGACTTGACAGCTACGCCTTAAGACCAAACTGATTCACAGAGCACTTTCAACCCTGAACACATATTCACATCTCCAGTAAATCACCATTATTTTGACGAACTGAATTACTGACGCATTAACTGGACTGTATATAATGCATTTCGATGACATGCACACAATGTATCCTGAATTTTATACAAGAGAAACAACGTAACACTTTAGTAGAAGCCAAAAGATATGACAAATATCGGCTGAGAATATGGTTTAACGTAAAACAACTAAATGTAATATTCACATCATTATGCTTATGGGTGCAATGACTTTCGTGAACAAGCGAAATCGTAGTGAGATGAAATAAATACTTGACATGTGATTCCATGCCACATATCTAACTATGAGGAGCAAAATAAAGAGATGTCGTCTTCTATTCAAGCTCTCCTGGAGACAATATCCAAAATGACCTGAAAACACTTGGTGAATAACACATAGGCTGGATGAAACTTTAAAGCTACCCCACCCCATAATACTACTAATGATGTAGGCGTCTGTTTTCTAAATTAGCAGGTCAGAGATTTGAGTACTGATTCATCCTACAAATACCAAAGAACAAATAACAATCCATGGTACTCACTCACTCAGTAATATGACCTATTATGGTCAGTTAGTCGGGACAATATTTCGCATGTATCACACACTTATTGAGTCAACGCTGACTACACTATCTATTTTCCCAGTTGGATTTAGGTGAGACGGATTTCGAACTCGAGAATGAAGACCTAGTGTTCAAGGTTCGTTGTCAAGTGTATAATGATGAGTATATTCAATGCATGAGGATAAACGGAAGAATACAAGAGAAAACCTACCTCATGTTTATCGGCAGTTGCATAGAGTTGAAGGAATTTATTAAAAACTTTCTGGGCAGCAATTTTTACTTCCAAAGAACGTTTATATCGACGACACTATGATTAGGTTTTAAAAAATGTAACAGGCAACTAGTATCAATAAAAAAGGAATAACATATTTTTAAAATAAAGACACGGATGCATATTATTAAACACATTATTATATCACAATAGACATTGATTATTTTTAGCGATGAATTTGTCAGCTGATTTGATGTAGTACTACTGCTACTGTTGTAGTATTGTACGTGGAATAGTAAACACAGTTAATTAACGTTACGAATTAACAGTTGTGAACGGATATCTTTAAAAATCCAACTTTAAAAAGGATGATTTTCATGTACTTTTGACCCCTGGATTCTGTCTGAGAAGTCACAAATATACTTAAAAGAAAGTCTTAGCATCAACAAACTACATAAGCGATATGGTGTTGTCTTCGGAAGACAAACAAACCGGTTATGTTGCCTTAATTCTTGGCAGAAGAGAAAAGGATTGAAAAACACAGTTGTGTTAAAAATGGTATAGTATAGATTTTACATCCAAACACCCGACCGATAGCTGCTACCTTGACGAGGTGGTCGGACTTGCACATCGCGATGACCCAACGAGATGCACTGGCTGGAACCAATGTTCCTGCAGGTCCTACCATGCTAGGATAGCGATTACACTAAAAGCAGTTACCGGCATTGTGTAACAAATTTTTACACCATGCTGGGGGTCTCAGGGTGAAGTCATACTGCTGGGGAACAGGGGTCTAACAGAAGTGAGGTGTTTCCCTCAGATGACCAGCATGTCAGCCATGCTGTCTCTCCACTCCGGAGGGAGGTGGTTAAAAAAAGGTCGACCCCGAAAATTGTACATCCCGACTTACCCTACGGTGGTCCGTAACCGGTGGTAAGTTTACTAATATGGAACCAATCCCAGAAACCAGTTCACACAGGCCGTGTGTGACCGGCCTCAAGCAGTTGTCCCCTGGGCTCTGTGGTCACGCAATACTCTTTCTGTTGCAGGTACCCGAAGAATTAGTCAACTTCCATGGTGTGGGCAGACGGGAAGTAACAACCGCCCACACACTTCCGAAAGCACGCGAAGCCTTCCCGAGCATCATTCTTCTTTACTCACATCACCTTCCCTATTCTGCTTCTCTACTACAATTAGTACTATTCTGCAGGCTAATAATTCATCTTCACTTCACTCTGTAACCACAAACAACGGTGAGAGCCATAGAAACACCCCAGATAGCCTTTTAAAGCCACGTCGCCAACTTCATATAGGAGCATTTAACGTCAGGGCAGACAGACATCCGAACGAAAATCTATGGGTCTCAGCACCTATAAATAAATAAGGTATGACTGTAGTTAAACCCAAATGCCACGGGGTTCTAAAATCATCGAAGACAGGTTCTATCAGATAGGAGGGGAGGGACAGAAGGTAAACGACAGGACATAGGATTATCAGCGGACTAGTGTTTACACACATTTATTTTAATGTATTTGAATAGCTCAGCAACTTGCCGGTTAATTTCAGCCGGCAGAATAAAATGAGCCATCAAGGTGTGGAGAGCATGCAAGAGTCAACTTTTCACCCATTTTAATCTTTAATTGGTGGATGGTGACTAGAAGGGGAATCCAGAATGCGCATTTCATCTTATTCTGGACTCGTCATCTGGATGTACCTGCATTCCACAGTGAGTGATGATGTTCCCACCTAGGCTCGAACCCAGTGCCCATAGTTTCAAACGTTTTAATCTTTGTTAACTTAACCCAGTATATTTATAGGGTATTCCAGCTACTTTAGTTATTGATGGATGATAAAAACTCAATAGACTAATTCACTCCTTTTATATTAAAATATAATTGAAATTACTAACATCTAGACGAAGACTAAACACATAAAGCACATGTGTATACAACTCCGTGCTGTAAACCATAGAGGGTCATCTAGGAACCATAACTAGTTCCCTGGCCATTGAGTGGAAGACATGAAAAGATTATCTATCTTCGATCATAGGTGCCTGCGCTCTATCTCCCGTGTAAAGTGGTATAATAAGGTGAGCAATATTGAGGTTAGGCTTCGGTCGAGTGCTAGGTAGGTGGGAGGGGAAATCAATCAACGAAGCTGTGAAGTTACATCGACTGAGATGGTTAGGACATGTGTTACGTATCCCTAGTCATCTAAAGCCCATCCGAAAACTGCCACCTTGTTGTCGTGGTCGAGCTTGAATACCGCAGTGACCCAACAACCTAAATTGGTAGGGACTCATGTCCCTGCAGGTTCCATGTCAGGAAGGTTGTTTGGGTAGCGGTTAAACTAAAAGCAGTGACCATGGGATACATGGGCTTCAGAATCCAATTGGATCAAATGGTGTATGAACCCATATTGGTCACCAGCAACCATGGGAATGCAGCTCCTGACGCTGCGCCGCTGCCTTGAGGATTAGATTAGTCAAAGGCTCAGGGGTGGTCTCTTAAGAAAACCACCTGCTTAGGTCTCGGCGCCCGGGCAGTATCTCAGCCCTCAAACAACAAATGAAATTTAGTATGGCGCATCTTTTTGGTGCCATATTGTACCACGTTTTTTTTCTGCGTTTAAATAAATAAATAGTCATCGATCGCCTTCCTCGACAGCAATGTTAGCTGATATAGGGTCAAGCTGGAAAAGAGCTAGTGACGGTCATACCAAAATATGGTTTCGTCAGTTAATGAAATCCACAACAGTTAGTTTAAGCCAGTCAAGTGGGGAGGTGCAGACTTCTGTCTGGTTGGGGTCCTCGGAACATTAAATGTTGGAACTTGTTAAGTATGACTGTTTTCCTTCCAGATGAAGTTCTTTATCCATTCTCTACTTATATTTTTTACCTTTGATCTATATTGTTTTATTATTATTGTGTGGCGCATCTTTCTTAGTGCCATATTGTATCAAGTTTTTTCTGCGTTTAAATAAATAAATGAACGACTGGCATCTCAAAACTCATCTACTAAAATCTGGACAAGCAAGTAGTATACACAGGACACAACAAATGTCATTCACTGCACAATGCACAAATCTAGAAATGGTTGGTAAAATTGCTGTTTTCTCCATTTACTACAAGACAGTCCAAACTTCTAAACTAAAAAACACTCGATTATTAGATCACTGTTCGACGTTATCATATGACAATGCATTATTCTACGCTTTGAGCTTTAATATAAAATCAATAACTTACTTTTCGTATTGTCTCCACAACTGTCCAACATCTTGCCATGATTGGTAAGGATACAGCCATTTTATCAAGAAATTCCAATCGATCAACACATGTGGCAATATCTTCATGACCTTGAACTAAACTAGATTTGATAGAACGATCAATTAAAAGTAGGCGCTCCTCAGTATCTAGATCTTTTAATTGTTGTTCTTTATCTTTAATATCTTCATCATTGGATCCGCATAGAATATTCCGTGGAGTACTCATAACGCTATGCTTCGTATCGTCGACAGAGTTCGAACTAAGAAAAGTGAGAAAAGAATACGTTTTGAAATGCTAAAATTAATTTCTAGTTTTTTATCAGTTCAGAAGATCATGTAAACTCTTTAGGGCACGAAGGTTTTCAGAAAAAGAACAAATTTAGAGAGAAAACTTCTTTCACGCATTAGAAAGTTATAGTGAAGTGGTCAGTCTCAAGATATAGGAACTTCCAATATACATATCTAACTTGCAGTATTATTAATAAATTACGAACATGGCACACATTATGGGGACCGAGAGATGCGCCACACAAAATCTCATAGTTGTGTGAGTGCTGTGATACTGGTTGAACGTTCCGACCGAAGGAGGAGGCCACATTCTCCAGAGCCTATGATTTGAAGTCTGATCCACAAAAGGGCGGTGGAGCAGCATTCCCATAGTTACCAGTGACCAAATCAGTTTCCTTCATGCATCATATTGAGTCGAACATATGGTTTGAGGGTCTAAGATGAATTAGGTGGGGCATATTCGAGCTTGGGATAATTTGTTTGGAACTCGATAGCCAAACCCGATTAGCCACATCTATAAATGAGCACTGCGTGTAAGACATGTAAAATAAACAAGACAGGAGAGGAATATAACTGTCAAAACACTCACTATTATGGAAAAAAAAACACCTAATAGCTCATTATGAAAATTATTTCCCCCCCCCGCCCGGCCCAACCCCTTTGCGACTAACTGTATAACTTAATGTTTTATCAGGACTAAGTGATGCCAGCAATAATGTGGCATTACAGTGTGCTGGACATAATGAATGAAAAGACAATGAAGGACAAGTATTGAAGTAATACTAGAGCACAATGGTACCTTAACACAAAGTTTAGTAATCTATAAACTATGATTTAAAGTGCTAACGAATACTGTCCAATAACATAGTCAAATAATAATGGAGCTTAATACTTACATAAGAGTTCAAAGTCAAAGTCAAGATGGCTGACTGTTGAGGTTTTTTAAAAGACCGACAGTGAAATTATACTTATGACAAGACAGCAATGTAACCGCAATGGGTTGTCCTCCTCATCTAACTATACTATTATCCGATTAAATGAAAAATTAGAATAAAATGGCTAATACTGTCACATGCAAAGAAATTCTGACGCTGACAGAAATATTCTTCAGTTACCAGCAGAAACATACACTGATAGTTTCGAAAAGAAGCATTTAGGACTACACAGAAGTGTAGCTTTAACTTTAATCAATTGTCGACATGTCATCAATATGTATAGAAATAACTGACTGTCAAAATACCTAGCCAACGACCAAATTCAGTTTGAAACAGCATAATTTTAAGCCAAAAGTAATAGTATTTCAATTTACAAAAGAACTCAATCTTTCGAGATGTTTATACAAAAATGAAGCATAATTATTAACTTGACTTCAGAAGACAATGTGGTGAATGTGTAAAGTTTGAAAATGCTGGAACACTTTATACCTACATCAAGAGGTAGGGAAAACAGCCACGATTCAATGTATTCACAGTTAAGAGTTGTCATATTCTCTCGTGAACGTACGTAATTCCTGTGCAGCAGTTGACTGGATTTGATGTGATGTGGCCATCATGATCCAGTAAGAAAGTTAAGCCACTCGAAAAATCATTTCCAATGGTGTCTACAGGGTCTGATTTCAGTAATTATGATGATCACTCGTGTTAATGTTTAGCATCGACATCAAACATCAATAGACAGCCACTAACGTCTGGCGAATTAAAGCAAATATATCTTATTAAAATATGGTTGTGGAGGACAGACGAACGGAAGTTGTTTTGAGTGAATACCTATTTGGTTTCTGTCTGTCTGGTTTTCAACACAGAACTTTGCACAAATGTGCGGAAGTTCAAGTCGCCACATTCCGTGTAGCACGCGAAGCAAGAGAAGAAAGTACAAGAAAAGCATAATAGAAACAGTGAGCAGAGGTGTGAGACAAAGGAGTAATAAAGAAATACAAAACAGTTTCATTGAAGATTATTAGTCACAGGGAGTGGATGCATCTGCGCCACTGAGAACGATTTTGAGCCATGTCACCAATTGTTTCCAACCATAGATTTTTACCGTCCCGAGGACCCCAGCCTGGAAGTCTACACCTTTCTACGTGGCTTAGACCAACTGTTGTGGATTTCATTGACTGATGCCAAGTTTTTGTTTGACCGCCGCTAGCTTTTTTCCAGCCTGACCCTATATCCGCTAACATTGCTCGTCGAGGGAGGCGATGGCTTGGCATACGTAACACATGTCCTAACCATCTCAGTCTTTGTAGCTTCACGACTTCGTCGATTGATTTCCCCTGTTTACCTAGAACTCTACGCCTAACCTCCATGTTGCTCACCTTATTATGCCACTTTACAACCTAACCCTATGTCAGTCAACTAACATTGTCCGTCGAGGAAGGCGATGGCTACGTATGCGTAACACATGTCCTAACCATCTCAGTCGATGAGACTTCACAACCTCGTCTAATGATTTTCCCTCCTTACCTGACTTACTCAACGCCTAACCTAAATATTGCTCACCCTATTATACCCTTTCACACGGGAGATAGAACGCAGGTACCTATGATCGAAGACAGCTAGCCAGGCTTTTCATGTCTTCCACTCTCAATGGTCAGGTTTCACAGTCATAAAGGAGGACGGAGTGGACTGCTGAGCACCACTTACGCCCTATGGTCGACAATCGGATATCACGTCTACGCCAGAGACGGAGCAAACCAGCGTATGTAAAACTAGCTTTCTGTACCCATGCTGAGATTTCGTCGGCGCCCAATCCGTTGGGGACAACTGCTTGAGGCCCACAGACCCCCAGCACAGTGTAAAAAATTCTTACACATTGCCGGTAACTGCTTTTAGTCTAATCGCTATTCTAACAACTTTCCTGGCATGGTAGGACCTGCAGGAACAATAGTTCTAGCCAGTGTAGCTTGCTGAGTCATTGCGATATGCAAGCCCGACCACCACGTTAAGGTAGCAGCTATCGGTAGGACATACTTATTTGGATTGAGGTTACAGTGCACAATGCTTATATGGGTTTATAGTAGAATGCGTACAAGAAATATAGGCTCATAAATCTTTGAACTAGGTCTGCTAACGAGAAAATTACATCTATACTAGGTGAATTAGCTGAGGATTACTCAAGCAACTAGTCCAAAAAGATGGTCAGTGAAAATGGGAAGGCAATTGTTTAATAATATTTATGATAGATGTTCGTAGCGTTAGATACAATACTTAAAAGGGCAGATCTAAAGGTGTGATCAAATGATGACAAGTCAATGTTACTATATGGTTCACGGACTTAGCGAACGCATTCCAAGAGACATTTCCAACAGGTTGTTGTAGACTTTTATAAATGGATGCCTTCGTCACCTCGATAATGAAGATCAGCTGACGGCGTGGGAAGGATGAGCGGCAGGAGACTCTGGTGACGAAACAAACAAAATCATATTGCTCAAAAAATGGGCATGTGTCTGAAATACGTTGAGTGATATCACACTCCAAAAGAGCCGTTCAGTGGAATCCGAATGGAAAACACCCAGTTGGACGCGAGTGAGGAGTGAAATGAAGATCACGTGAGAAGGAAAAGGAAGTTTATAGGCAATCATAGAGCCAGTTAAAAAAAACCACAGAAGAGACTGAAGTGAAATGGTGATGTGCTGCTAAAGTCCTATGTTCCACTCGCACGCAACCCAAGGAAGTAATTATTATAACCAGGAAGCGTTCAGTAGTGAACCATTTATCATTATAAAAGTCTTTCCATTATCGAAAAGTGTAAGTGATAATGCATGCTGTCTTGTTTTTCAGATTGTTTTACACAAGTAATCTTCCGACTCAAGGATTAAATAACTGAAAGTCATGAAAAGTATGCTAAGTTGGTCGAAACGGCATATGTTTGCACACATGTACACCAGTTCAAATTGTCACATTTCGACGAGGAGGCGACTAACAGAGGAGACACAAGGCCATGATATATAACAACTAAAAGTATGCGAGGAACAGACTAAGTAAATAAAGATCAGTAAGTGTCCCAAATCGAGAATATGATAGGAAGTGAGTACTTCTACATAGCTGTGAGCAATACTTAGCCAAGAAATCTACAACCCCCACGTGATTTAGGCCAACAATTCGACCATCTTGGAATTCTTTTCAACCCAATCCTGCTTTTACTAATACTGTGGTGAGAGCTGGTTGTTAGTCAAAATTGATGGACAGTAATTTACGTCAATGTTTATGTACTTACTTACTGTAGTTTACTTCGGCTATCTCCTACGGGAGGATGAGCCGGCTTCATGAACATAGTTCATGAGGTTTCATGGGAATTAGGTACGAGTGATGTCCCCAGCATCGCTCGGCCTTCTGTTTGAGAGCGCAGCTCTAGCCTTTACACAACCAAGTGTGACCTACAAGGCAGTAGGAGTGGAGTAGGGAGTCCTGTCTGTCTGTCTGTTTTCGAAATAGAACTTTGCACAAATGTGCGGAAGTTCAAGTCGCCACATTCCGTGTAGCACGCGAAGCAAGAGAAGAAAGTACAAGAAAAGCATAATAGAAACAGTGAGCAGAGGTGTGAGACAAAGGAGTAATAAAGAAATACAAAACAGTTTCATTGAAGATTATTAGTCACAGGGAGTGGATGCATCTGCGCCACTGAGAACGATTTTGAGCCATGTCACCAATTGTTTCCAACCATAGATTTTTACCGTCCCGAGGACCCCAGCCTGGAAGTCTACACCTTTCTACGTGGCTGAGACCAACTGTTGTGGATTTCATTGACTGATGCCAAGTTTTTGTTTGACCGCCGCTAGCTTTTTTCCAGCCTGACCCTATATCCGCTAACATTGCTCGTCGAGGGAGGCGATGGCTTGGCATACGTAACACATGTCCTAACCATCTCAGTCTTTGTAGCTTCACGACTTCGTCGATTGATTTCCCCTGTTTACCTAGAACTCTACGCCTAACCTCCATGTTGCTCACCTTATTATGCCACTTTACACGGGAAATAGAACGCAGGCACCTATGGTCAAAGGCAGCTAGTCTTTTCATGTCTTCCACTCTCAGTGGCCAGGTCTCACAACCATAAAGGAGGACGGAGCGGACTGATGAGCAGTACACCCGCCCTTTGGTCGATAATCGAACATCTCGTCTACACCAGAGTCGGCGTAAACTGGAAAATGCGTAGGAGTAGGGAGTCCACTATCCATTGGCAGCCGGTGACCGGAGTCCGGTTCATACGCCTTTTTGAATGGGGTCAGACATCCAAGGCATCCAATAAGCCCTTTGTCCATACGTCTACCGATGAGCTCCGGTGAGCTTCATACGCCAGTCGTTAGGGGTTTGGAATCAGGGTTTAGTCATTTCCCCTAGACTGTCATCCAATGGACAATCAACCCGGTGGAGAGCGCTGGGCATCCACTTTTGCCCTCTCACTTCGGTGAAAACACCTCTGCCACGTGAAGGCAGTGAGTAGGACTTCCTCAGGAGAGGCTATGTAAGACGCCCGGCCATATGGGAGCATTTCAAGAGGTGTGCGGAGGGGTGGCCAACCCGCAGCGCAAGGCACCCACCCCCGACCATACCATAGGCTCAGTATTGGTCGTGAGAAAACTGAGAACAAAGGCTTTGCGTGGGCTGATACAGTTAACATATAGATGATGTGACATTCAAGAAACAGCCACAAAGAGATGCAAGGTTAACTTTTTGTGAGAAACAACCAATCAGAGGACTGTATTTTTCTGCAAACAATAATCTATAATATGTACATGAAAATCTATAAATATGCGTTGATTTCCTTGATAAAGGATCTGTTGCCTGGCCCTTGTCTTTTGTTGTTACAATAGTGTTAGAGCAAGAAAAGTGATCTTCAAAACACTAACCACTTCCATCGAGGAAAACTGAATGTTATCGGCTGATTTGGCTTCCCCGCCAAAACTTTGATCCCAGTATTACTTATACTATGGTTTCACCAAAGAGACAGGTTAGAAACATGTAGGCTTTATACCTATTTCCAGAAGCTGTTTGTTGTTTAACCAGTAAGATAGTCGAATGTCATGCGATACAACAGCCCTCTGGTAGGTAATCAGTTATTTTATAAAAAGCTGTCAAGTGCCAAAAAAGGTCTTTTGTATCTAAGCTGAGATTTCCTCACAAACAATTCGGTTAGAAACAATGCTCGTTTTTAAATACGTGAAATAGCCTGCGTATTTTAGCACTTCATTCTGTCCTTAGACTAGTAGTTGGTCCAAATCAAATAAGGAAGAAATATTCACACAGTGATACACCCATTGACTGGGTATTGGTTTTCAGGAGAACCAAACACACCCATATCTGCCTCTTGCAAGACGAGATAATAATAATAATGATTTACTTTATTCCAAAAACAGTACTTGTGATACAGAATGGAATTTTCAGCATTAATCACAATATTGCATCTAATTTCCTCAAATTATAAATAAAATTAATCACACAGAAAATTTCTCACATTTACAATAGAGGTAGTGTTAAAAATATGCAGCATATAAAATGGAAATAGCAATAATAATGATAACAGCTAGGGTAATAATAATAATACAAGTGAAAATTGAAATATAAGGAAGAAATACATGATAAAGACTCGGATGTTTGTTCACATTGCTCAAACGACATTTTGTTGACTCTCTTTCTTAACAGGACTATATCGTCTGTATTCCCTAAATCAACTAGCAACAAGTCAGTGACTGATAGGTGAAAATAAAACAAAGTTATTTGCCTTGATGCATCTATGGGATAGAATTAAAACAATTATCTGTAGAACCTATGAAAATGAAGTGTACTAATTTCTATAGAGCCTTTGTGACAGACAGGCAGGCATAGGTGTACACTGATCATACAAAGTTTAGAGATCATATTAGTAAAGAAACTCACCCACGAATTGAAGAGGTTGTAACATCAGCAGATTTTGAGTTCAACCCCACCACCTATGGTTAAAACAAATGGATAATATGAATAACTCTAGAACAACTTGGTTCACGAAACTTATTATACACTAAACTGCCTTCGGTGTAAAAGCTTTCTGTTGTAGCAAATTAACAGACAAAGATAAGCAGTTTTAATGCTCAAGAATCAGGTGGTACACTTTTAAGTAGGAACAGTTTTCGGTGACCGTCATCTGATTAGCAGTAAAACGTAAACGTAGTTGTGGATGCAAAATTCACAGGCTATGGCTGGCTTGTGAAACAACTCGACCAGGAAAGAACAGACAATGACAGCAGTAACTTGACAATGTACACACTTTTGTACACGTGGATGTAGGTAGCTATATGAATTACAGAAAACTTTGAAATAAGCAGTATATGTCGGTCTAAACAGAAATACAGTCAAAATACAATATATCGTTGTTTTTCCTCTTCGCTTGTTTCTTCGTTCCAATTCAATAAAATTCCACTGATAGTTGATTTAGTTAATGAATGTCCTCGTTGCCTGTAAAATCCCTTTAAAAGCCGGATAACAGTAGTTATTAAATTAAACAAGTCACCAGTTAATTACTAAATTGTAATTCAAGATTAGAGAAGTCAAGAACTGAATTCATTCACGAGCAAAACTAAAGAGTAGTTGAGAAATAAAGAAAAAGAATTAGACAAGCATAGGTATGGTTTTACTATGGACATGCGGGTATGAGTTAAGTGTTCAATTAATAAAGGCAAAGAAAGTTGAGAAGAAACCACCCATCGCAACAGTAAATAATAGTAAAGTATTACTTATTTACAACGACATTAGGAAAAGAAGTTGGGAGAATGATAAAATAATAGTAAGTAAAATGTAAGAGGTTCTCTTTCTAATTCAACCTGAAATAGTGGATTGCCATGGCCTCCAGTGTGTAAAATTTACAAGTATTGATTATGTAGGGCTTTTATTTGATTGGATAGAGGATTTCACCACGAGCTGATATCAGTTAGAGAACCACTGGAAAACCTGGGAGTACTGGATAGCTGTTTCGTCCACTCATGATGAAATCCTCCACCCAATCAAACAAAATCCCTACAAAACCAATGCTTGAAAATTAGTCTGATGCTCACTAACGACTAGCCCTATTCAGGCAGTGACCTGGGGTTCTAGTGGGAAGCCTTGACCAGTAGGGTGAAGCAGGTTGAAGATGAGGCAGTGACTCATCGAAGAAGATATTGCGAAATGGTCGCGCTACGTCGTGCATTGGCAGAAGTTAGAATTCATAGACCATTAGATCGGGTCCCAGTGGCCCGATGGTCTACGAGCTCGCTAGCCTTGTAAGCAGAAGGTCCTAGGTTCGATCCCCGGTGGGTGCGTGCTATAATATTTACATCACATTCCTTTTCAGCCTTTTGTTCGTGTCTTCTTAATAATTATTTTGGAAGGTTACTTCGGTTGAACAACGTGATTAAGAATAGTCAACTTCGTCCTGTGTTTAGTCACTAGTCCGCACTAGACTAATTCTCAGGTGTTTGTTTGGCTAAATTGTCCACAATGTCGCCTTGTAACCCAAAGGTTCTGTGTTCGATTCCCGGTAGGGTTTGGGTGCATATTGATGAAGATTCACATAACAAGTACGAAGCACCTGTCTAATACTCCCTGATTCTCAACGGTTCTCTGAAGTCAGTTGATGATCAAACTTGAAATTAATCAAATCCTTGCGAACCAACACTTGAAAAAAATGACAGTAAGGTAACTCCAATTCAGTTTCATTTGGCTTGTGTAAGCTACATAACAGCATAGAAACAACTAGACTGGAGTATTGATATGGTCTAGGGCGGCAGTCTGTCACATAATAACTGGCATGGAGTGAAGGCGATTAGAAGTTTAACAAGAAAATATTATTTTTGTGAAAGATCCTTGATGTCAGTCTGCTGAAGCATTACTACCGAAATCAACAATGACAGTGTCCTTCGAAATTTAAAGAAAATACTTCACGTTATGTTTCCATTCTAAACTATTTTTTACCAGTAACTGTGTATCTTTTTGATTGCCGAACACTAGGTGAACAAATGTTACTGCATGGTTGGAATTAATCGGTAGGAAGTTCTGGACCCGGATTGCATACCTGCTAGCACCTGTCAATAAAGTATATATGTAGTCTTGAAGTAACTCGTGTCACTTCTGAAATCCAACCCCGGATCGCTCAGATGTGCAGCCAGAGAGACGTTATGGTGAAGTTAATGTATCATAGCCAAAGTCGATATGTTTAGGAGTTGACCTTCAAAAACTGATCACACACAGCCAACGCTATGAAATACAACTCCAAATCAAATTATGCTGGCCTTTTTAAACCTGGAGAGGATAGATACAGTGTCTTACTTATTTACTAGGTACTTTTCAGCAAATCTACACTGTTAGGTAAGGTTATGGCTTTTAAGATTAAGGTTTAGGGTTAAAGTTAGAATTAGGAGTTAGGACTATGGTTAGAGTTAAGAGTAGCTTGAAGAATAGTGTCAGAAATACCAATGGATCTCAAAGTACCATGATCTATGGTCACTTGGATGAATGAATATATTGCGCCTGGTACGATTTCTAGATAGATCATCTGTGTATTAACTGGGAGACATTCTTACAACACATAAGCTACAACTATACAGTGTAATATCAAGTTTGCAAATATTTTTTTAGTGTATTTTTCAACGATTACGCGACTTCTTTTTGTATCTGAATTCTAACTGGTTGTTCTAGGTCACTGAGATTATGGCTATGATAGTTTAACTTTGCCGACGGTATCACTGGGCTTGAAAATGTTGTCACACACTTACGGGATACCGAAATTCTAATACGGATATGTTTGTTTATCATCGGAAAAAAGCACGCCATACATACCAACGCTAACCAGTAAATTAAAGCGTAGACAAATGTTGAGTAAAGTTTCTTTTTTACTTACTGTATTCTTCTGCCAGTTTTTGGATGATAATCTAGGACTTGTGGTAGGGCTTGCTTTAGGTGAGTCATCTCCATCAAAGAAGGCAGATAAATCAGAAGAATCACGACGTCGTTTTAAATATTTTTTCCTTAACCGAATACTAGTACGAGGCTGTATAGAATGATCAGAATCTTGGCTGTTTTTTGCACATTCATCCTCAATAGCTGATTGTTGTTTGCCTTTTTTCCCAGTACTATATGTCTTTGAATTTTCAACAGTTTTAGAAACGCCAGAATCAGATGAATCATCACTTAGTTCTGGTAGAATATTTCGAAGAAGAGGCGTAACCACAGCAGTTGAACGTGGACGGTTGACCTTAGCTTGATTTACGCTACTCACAGAAGTTGTATTAGGTGTTGGTGTTACCGAAACAATCGGTCTTGCTTTTGTCTTTTCCTCAATTGAAACAAATGGAGATAAAGCTGTATTCTGACGTATAATAATCTTTAGTCCATCACTACAAGGTGACTGTGGTTGTTCTGGCTCCTAAATAACAATACAAAAACAAACTTTATGTAATCACTGTAGTCAAGGGCAACGATATAATTTACAACAGTAGGCTTTATTACAATTATTGTGAGTAGATCTAGAAAGTAGGGTATTCAGTACAGAATTAGAGTAAATAGAGGTAGGCTTATGGGAAACGAACAATTCAACAATCTATATAGGATTCTTTACTTCGCATACGTTTAACTCCATTTATTCAACCACTGTACTGAATTCCATATCTTCCATCTATGGGAAATAAAAGTGTGCAGTGAACACGTTTATATATATATATATATATAACACGAAATCATGTGACGCCTCATGATTGGTAGCTACTACCTTGAAGTGGCGGTCCGGCTTGCATATCTCAATGACTCAACGAGCTACAGTGGCTGGAACGATTATTGCTGCAAATCCTACCATGCTAAAAATGACATTTGCATAGACTAACAGTAGTCGCCATCAAAGTCGTCAACATTAGATCGGGGGGTTTGTAGGCGAAGTCGTACTGTTGGCGAATAAAAAGGTAACCGTAGTAATGTTTTACCCAAACAATCAACAAGCTAGTTATGCTGTCTCTTCACTCTGGCAAGGGAGAATCGGAAAAGGTTGACCTCGAAAGTGGTTCACTCTGATTCACTTTGAGGCTGTCTGTAGCCGATGGTAAGACATTAATACGGGTAGAACCCTAAAAACCACTTCAAACAGCAAGTATGTAACCGACTTCGAGCATTTGTCCCCTAGGCTCTTTTTTCTTTGAGGTATTCAGCAAAAAGCCTGGATGAAATATCTGAGTAAAGATACTAAATTTACGCGTTGATAAACCTACTGAGATAATCAAAGCAGGAAACGAGGCTTTATTATCACCAATGAAACTGGGAATTTCGGTTTTACAGATCAGAGATTTCCTCTACAGACAATTCACTGACTGATTGGTTTCAACAAAGAACTATGCACAGAAGTGCAGCAGTCGGAGTTGCCAAACTTCATGTAGCATACAAAGGCGGACAAAAGAGGAAAAAAGATATCTACCATTTCGCTGAATTCAAGGCATGCTCAAACAAATGGTCGAGATTACTGTGAAGTACTATGCTTATGCAATGCTCGATCGTATTCTTTCATACAATTAAGATATCGTCAACATGATCCAAATACAAAGTAAAATTACAGCCATCATGAAACAGCATCCCTTAATTACCTACTAAGTGCACTATTTTGCAGAAACATTGTTGACAAGACTTGAGAAAACAGAGTTTACATACAAGCATTCTAACTGACCGAAAATCTATTAATGTGTGCTGTACCTGCCAGTATGTAAGTGAAAGAAACTGCTACTATATTACTAGCATGTACTTCGACAAAATCAAAAATACCAAGTGAACTTCAGATTGCAGACAGAAAACTGAGACTTAAAGGATACTGGAAATCGACTTACAACATTACGTGCTTCTAGCGTGACAGCTGAACCAGGAGTAGATGGTGAAGAATGGGAGATATAATCTGGAGAGAATCTTAAACCCGTAGAATTCTTTCTGATACGAAGACGAAGAGACGAAACACGTGGAGCCTGTTCCTCGGGTTGCCTAGCTACTGATTGGGCAGGTGATTTTACATCATCAACTGATGCAGAAGACGATAGTCTTCCACTTTTTCTGAAAAAGAAAGCATTACATGAGAACACAAAACCGAAATAGTAAACATAAAAATTTGTGGAAGAAAAAACTATCTTACCTCAGACTACTTTTATTTGTCAGGGAGCTGCGGGAACGATTGTTGACAGGTGCTGTCTCTTTGAGGGGTTCTGTGTGACGTCTTTTAGCAGGTCTACTATGTTCCGCTAAAGAAGAAAAACAATGAATTGCAGTTAGGATAATACCCAGGCGCTTTAAACGAAAAGAATAAAATAAATATGCATAGCAATCAGTTGAATGAGCCATGTGTTCTTCACCAGAACGAAAAACGCTGTTTCTTGTGAATCGCAAACGTTAACAACCCTGAAGTTGTATAGGGTGACTTAACCACTTCTACCTTCACTTATAACTGTTAATTGTCAAAGCAAGAACAGCAATTGTACCAGGATAATATGAGCTCATCTTTTATCATTTCGAGGATTCTTCTCAACTGGTTACAACTTTTCCACGATCACAAGGAGTAATTGGTAGGAATTAAAAGTAACGTTAGTCCGGAATGATTTAACTGATTAGGAGTTACAAAAGCTGACTATTAATAGAATAATTAGACTATTAGGCTTGACAACAACAAAAAACAGGGTTGCATACATATGTGTATAGAAACAAGGTTTAGCTGGAAAGAGTATAACAAAAAAGTAGATTACGTAACTAAAGAAAACGTCTTATCTAAGAGCCAATAGAAAAAAGGAAAGAAAAGAAACAAGGTAGGGTGAGTCATGTTCAGATGAGAGAGTAGAGTTTCTTAAACAAGAAATAAGGGTGATTCATGAAAGTTGTATATTTTTTGTTATCACCGGGGTAGTGGAAGATTCACCACTGTCTCCTTCTGCCTTCATAGATTAGGTTTAAGTCATCTGATAGCAATTGCTTCAGCAAATCGTAGCAAGCTGGGTCAGTTGTACACCATTTTGGAATTCATTTTCTATATGAAGATAATAGTCTCATTTCTGTCAATATCCAAGGTATTAATACAATAGTCTACTTGACTGTCATATTTAGTTTCATTTAAAAATTAGTGATTAGCGAAGAGTGACAAACCATTGTTTCGCGGACATCTTACCTCGTAGTACTTTCAACCCATTAACTGACTAGCATTTACCTAACCTTACACTAACTTATTATTTCAGCAAATTAACAAATGTCACATAGGTGCTTAGAAAACATAAAGATTTAGACGCATCTCTTAATTGTTAATGCTCTATCGAAGAATAAGTGTAATGAAAGTTAATTAGGTCAATCAAAAGTTTGCAAGAAACATTACTTTCAGCTGAAGTTGGGTTCGATCGCTTTTTATTTGGCTTTTCCGCTACAACAGGGGTTTGCAAAGAAACTTGACTTGTATTTTCACATTCACGTTTAAATGAGTAAAATCGAGACAGGAATGCTTCAGCTGCAGGATCCTAAAAATATTACATATTGAAATTGTTGATAATAATATCAGAATAAATTTAAATAACAATTAATAAGAGGATAAGCTTCATGAAAACGGAGTAAATCAGAGAACATACTTCGCACTTTGAGTTCAACTTTAACAAAATAAGTACTTAAATTCAACTGAAGGTCATGGCATGAAAAAGAAAATGTATAAATATTATTCATTAATACCTTAAATGGTAAAACATGAAAACAGGATATGTATGCTAATGAAATGAGAGTACTAATAATCCACTGGGCAACTTATAGGGATAAAGCTGATTATTAGGAATCTGGAAACACTGGAATAAAACAGACGAAGCAACTACAGGGATTTTAGTTGGTAATTTCATTGGATACTTATCAATCTCTCCGGTTATTTTCTATCGAAATGTGTCCAATTAGATTGTCTGGGGAATGTGTTACAACCTGAGATGGTTACATCTGGGCCACATAAAGTGGTTTTGAGCCATACTGTCTGTCTGTCTGTTTTCGACATAGAACTTTGCACAAATGTGCGGAAGTTCAAGTCGCCACATTCCGTGTAGCACGCGAAGCAAGCAAGAGAAGAAGGTACAAGAAAAGCATAATAGAAACAGTGAGCAGAGGTGTGAGACAAAGGAGTAATAAAGAAAAACAAAACAGCTTCATTGGAGATCATAAGTTACAAGGAGTGGATGCATCTTCGCTATGCACTGAGAACGATTTTGAGCCATGTCACCAATTGTTTCCAACCATTGGTTTTTACCGTCCCGAGGACCCCAGCCTGGAAGTCTACACCTTTCTACGCGGCTTAGACCAACTGTTGTGGATTTCATTGACTGATGCCAAGTTTTTGTTTGACCGCCGCTAGCTTTTTTCCAGCCTGACCCTATATCCGCTAACATTGCTCGTCGAGGGAGGCGATGGCTTGGCATACGTAACACATGTCCTAACCATCTCAGTCTTTGTAGCTTCACGACTTCGTCGATTGATTTCCCCTGTTTACCTAGAACTCTACGCCTAACCTCCATGTTGCTCACCTTATTATGCCACTTTACACGGGAAATAGAACGCAGGCACCTATGATCAAAGACAGCTAGTCTTTTCATGTCTTCCACTCTCAGTGGCCAGGTCTCACAACCATAAAGGAGGACGGAGCGGACTGATGAGCAGTACACCCGCCCTTTGGTCGATAGTCGAACATCTCGTCTACGCCAGAGTCGGCGTAAACTAACAAATGCGAAACGAGCCCCCTGTATTCGTGCTGAGATTTCGTCAGAGATCAGCCCGTTGGGGCTGATGGTACTTCCCAAGTAAGTGAAGCGGTCAAAGTGCTCTACAACTTCACTTCCTATTTTTAAACTAGGCGTCGATGTAGTCCAGTCTTGTAACATCATCTTGCATTTGGCGGGAGCGAATCGCATGCCAAACATTCGTAGATTGCAGCTCAAGGTGTTTAGAAGACTCTGCATTTCGTCAGCGTCTTCGCCTAGAAGGACTATATCGTCTGCATATTCCAAGTCGACGAGATTATTCCCTGGTAGCAAGTCAATCCCTGAGTCGCTGAAGTCACCTAGGGTTAAGTCCATTAACACATCTATGATGAAGTCTGTCTGTCTGGATTCAACATAGAACTTGACACCGAAGTGCAGCAGTTCGAGTTGCCACGTTCCAATTGGCACACAAGGTAGACAAGAAGATGAGTGAAGAGAATCAATAGAGTTTGACAAATATAAGAGTGAAACAGAGTGGGTAATTGTAGAAAGGAATATGAAAGATTACAGAGACTGAATACATCTGCGCCATTGACAACGATTTTGAGCCATGTCACCTACTGTCTCCAACCATTGATTCCTAGAGTCCCGAGGGCCCCAACCCGGAAGTCTGCATCTCCCTACCTGACTCAGTTTAACTGTCAAGGATTTCATGGATTGATGCCATGTTTTTGTTTGGCCACCACTGGCTCTTTTCCAACCTGAACCTATATCAGCTAGCAAAGCCCGTCGGGGGAGGCGGTGGTTAGGCATGCGCAGCACGTGACCTAGCCATCTTAGTCTATGTAACTTTATAGCCTCGTCGATTGATTTTCCCTCTTTGCCCAACACTCTACGCCTAACGTCAACATTACTTATCTTGTGAAACCACCTAACGTGAAACAGAGATCGCAGACATCTATGATCGAAAGCAGTCAACCTTTTCATGTCTTCAACGCGTATTGGCCATGTTTCAGAGCCATAGAGAAGGACGGAGCGAACTGATGAGCAGTACACACGTCCCTTGGTTGATAACCGGATGTCACGCCTACGCCAGAGATGGTGTAAGTCAGCGAAAGCAGCTCGAGCTCTTCGGATCCGTGGTGAGATTTCATCGCCAATCAGTCCGTTGGTGCTAATACAACTTCCCAAGTAGGTGAAGTGGTCAACATGTTCTATCACTTCACTCCCTATCACTAAGTTAGGGATTGACGGGGTCCAGTCCTGTAGCAGCATCTTACATTTTGTAGGGGCGAATCGCATGCCAAACATACGAAGATTGCTGCTCAAGGTGTTCAGAAGACTCTGCATTTTTTCAGCATCCTCCCCTAACAGGACTGTCATCTGCATATTCTAAGTCCATTAGATTATCCCCTGGTAACAAGTCGATTCCTAAGTCACTACGTTCAGTTAAGGATACTTCCATTAGCATTTCTATGATGAAGTTGAATAGAAAAGGAGATAATGGGCATCCTTGACGGACACCACTGGTCGTCATCAGTTCAGATGACAGCTCACCGTAAGCCCTCACCGTTCAGACGGACAGCACACATTCGGCTATCTACTGGGATCCAGTCAAGCAATGTCTTTTCTGCCCTAGTACTCAGAGCTATCCCTACGCCAGCTAATCCCCGTGAACTAGCTGTGGCATCTCCTGACACCCTCAAGGTGAATTTTGAAGATTCATCCTGTTGGCCAGGTGGGGTTAGGTGAATAACCACACTTGGGTCTTGTATGCGTGTTTCTGAAACACAGCATACATCAATGGCTCGAGATGCCAGGGTCTTAGCTAGTGATGCTTGTTGTCCTATTTGGCAAAGTGTCCTTACATTAAATGCTCCTATATGAAATTGGTGGCGTGGCTTTAGGAGACTATCCGTGGTGGTTTTTTGGCTTTCGTCGTTTTTAGTGGACACAGAGTGAAGAGGGAGTGAGGAGCCATCAAGTAGAGGAGTTGCATCACTGGAAGGAAGGTAAGGTAATAGAGATGAAGATGAAGACAAAGATAAGTGAGGATTAGAGAGGTTTTGTGTGCGTTTTGGATTGTGAGGGCGATTGTTACTTCCCGGCTGCCCACACCGTGGAAGTTGGTTGCGTGACCGCAGAGCCCAGGGGACAACTGCTTGTGGCCGGTCACACGCGGCCTGTTTTTGTTCGTTCTTTTTGTTCGTTTGTGTTTTGTTCGTTTTTGTTCTGCCCTCACCTGACTGTATGAGTACGAGTAGAGTGCCTTAATCAGTGCAATATATTTTCTCGGAATTCCCTTTACAGACAAGCATCTCCAGAGAACTTCCCGATCGACAGAGTCGAATGCTGCCTTTAGGTCAAGAAATATAATGACTGTTGGACGCCGGTAGGAATGACTATGTTCTAGAATCTGTCGGAGGGTGAAGATATGATCAATACACCCTCTTCCTGGTCTAAAGCCATACCATCAACAGTTACGAGCCATTCGGTTTTAGCCTCCCAAGAATCGCAACCAGGTAGTCTACACCTCCATACATGGTACAAACCAACAACCAAAGAAATCATGAACGGACACTGTGGTGATTTGGCAACTACTAGCTCCAACTTAGTTCTATGTCAGCTAACATAGCTCGACCAGGAAGGCAGCCACTCGACATGAATAAACATGTCTCAGCCATTTCAATCGATGTACGTTCACAACCTCATCGATTGACTCTCTCTCTCCTTACCCAGCACTACACCTAACCCCAACACTATTCACCATATACGTAGCACACACACAGCTATGGTCACAAACGACTAGCCATTGTCATTTACTTTCATTACCCATGTCTTGCAGCCATAAAAGATAGAGTTAACTACTGTGTAGTATACACGTTTTTTAATAGATGACTGGTGAAAGAGTAAAAACCTAGGTGCCATTGTAAACGTTTTTAAATCGTTTCACCGAAATTCGTTTACCACTGACCTGTAAGCACTCTCAACATGTCAACATGAGTCGGATTAAACAAACTACAGCAGGATTTCATTACAGAATCAGACCTATAAAGCAGACCGTTAACCATACTGCTTTTCAGTCAGTGGTAGTTATCATATCACTATAAATGGGCTGAAGTAAATCAAATACGCAAAGCACAATTAAAACACTAATTATCAGGTAATAAGTCTGAAGTGCTACCTTTGAGTATTCTTAGAAGGACTCGTAAAAGAAATTTGATTTACCTACTAAGCGAGTTATCAATGATTAATTCACTGACTGACTGAGTCTTAACGCAGAACCTGAACAGAAGTGTAACAGTTCAGGTTGCCATACTCTATATAGCATATAAGTACGTTGGGGGAGGGGGAGGAATTCCAAGGAGCTACAACGAACGGAATTTCGCGGTAGAAGTAACAAGTACATGAACAGTAATGAGGAACAAATGGATCTAATTCACAAAGATAAATGCACCCACACGACCGAGAACGATCTTAAACTACTTCACCGGCAGTGTATGGTTATCGAGTATTAATGTCCCAAATACCTCTCTGCACCACTATATCTAAGCCAGTAGAAAAGAATCCATGGGTTGATGCCACACTTGATCTAGCTTCTACTAATTATTTTGTAAGTTAATGCTTCGTCATCCTTCTTTAACAAGGGAGGCACTGGCTTGGATTGAAGTATGCAGCACGTGTCCTGGCTAGCTCAATTGGTACTGTATTGTACTTTCTTAGATTAATTATCCGTCGCTTCAATTCATACGTTTTTCTTATGTGGAAACCTTGTGATAGGTGAAGTAAATAAATTGAAGGCCTTCGTTCTATGTCTTGAGGACTACATTTTGTCAGCCATCACCTAGGACGATAGTATCATTCAAATACTCTAAGGCAAGACTGTCCCTTGGTAACAAGTCGATAGGTCACTTACGTCAGGGTAAATCTATCAATCAGACAAAAATAGGATGTGCATTACTGATGGACACTAATATTAGGACTCCAAAGGACTACTCAGTATAGCCGCTCGACTTCAACCATTGGGTCATGGGTTCTAACCCTGCTCGGCCTACCGAAGTTTGGGCAGCCAGGTATTACCAGCACTCCTATAATGGATCTGGATTATTGCCGACAAGAAAGTGTGAGTTTGTGTCGAGTGACATAACCCCAGGGAAGACCATTTCAAGACATCCTGTTTCCACCATATATTAACAAAGCAGGGAAATATGATCCCATCATCTTAACTATTTGCTGGAAATATTCGTTTTATAAAGTTTTTAATAGTACGGTAAGTAGGTTAACTCTGAAATCATTTGCATAAGCTAATAATAAGATTTAGACGCTGTAGTCTAGGAATCAATCTCCGCAGGCGCTTTAATGTATCTCAGCAGGCGAAGATACAAAATTAAAAAGGCAAACATAATCTTACACCTGCTCCATGAAAAGATCAGAAGTGCGAAACTCTTCTCAGTATTATCTACGTAGAGAGGTGTTTTCAACTTCACATTAAGTAATTTGGGTTTCGACCCTTACCACCTATATCAGATGTCATCACCGAATGGCACACTAGTCAAAGTGGGAACAAATTGCCGGTATTTAGCAAAACTGGGCCACCAGAGACCAACTCAATTACAGCCTTACATCTTGTATCCCTTAAAGGTGGCAACTGAAAATCCCACCTCTGGAAACCTATCTAAATCACTAAGTAACCTTACGTAATACAGTTGGATGAAAGTGTATTGACATTATCATTCATGCACGCCAAAATACCACTACACGTGAGAAGCAAACGAATAAAATCCGCGTACAAAAACGTGACAACTACATAGCATGTCTACGCTAAGCATTAAATTATACCCACAAATAGATTAACACTAAGATGAAATACGAATAAACTTGCCTTTTTATAAAGTAACACATCAGGGTCTTCCTCAATTTCTCTTAAACCCTCACGGAAAACGGCCTTGTTTCGAGGAACCGCATACTTGTGTTTGAACTTTTCATACGGAAATATGTCTTTAGGGGCAAGAAAGTAACTGGAAAACAAAATTAATTGCATGATAATACTCGGACATACACTTCATGGGTGCCGTAGAAAAAAATTGGGTATTTCCCCTTCGGAATCTGCACATCTTCAGGCAATAGGTTAATCTGTGAAATAGAAAACATCTTTCTTGTCTTACTCTAGATGGCCAGTGAGGATGGCCCTTGACTTTCGCAAATATCTTGTCACCTGGTGAATAAGCCATCGACAGACACAAGAACCCGCCCAACTTAAGTTCCGCGCTCTGTACAACTAGTTCAACAAAACTGATAACAGTTTGTTTCTAGTGAATCGAAATTGTCTACAACCTTCGATGTAAAAATCCTAAGTAGAATGTTTGTTGGCAGTAAAACAATTAATTCAGTACCAGCTACAATGTTTCTTTAGGGAAAAGATAGGAAACAGAAGGGAATCAGATATCGACTAAGGGGCAACCGACCAACCATAATTTAGATAAAGGGGAACAGAGTTTCACATCTTCAGTATACCATAGTAATATGTCAGGAGGCCAGAAGATAAGATGAAATAAGTAATGGTAACCGCGAAAACAAAGTGGAACTGTTTGAAAATAGACGCTGAAATGTAAGAGGCTTAGAACGTTTTAGTGCTGGAAAATGTCAGCGCTTATGATGAACGGAAAAATAAGCTGGTGAGATGCAATATACATTCACTGTGTGCAGTAAAGAATGACAGAAATAATTCGCAGTGGAAGTAGCTTAGTAGCCCAAAACAGAGTACGTACACTTCAAGATCTTCGCTGCCTTATGACACTCTGGGCAACAGAGTACAGACGGTAAGGGGTAATAGGGAATCAACTTAGGTGACAAATTCGCCTCGCAAATTACTGTGAAATTATTTAGTTAACTGAAACATTAGAAGCTGACTGTGGATGTCAAATAGCTATGTTGCTGTGGACTATGATATTACATTATATATAAGGGATTACTTCTTTTCGCAATCACTTAATCTGTTAAACACTGGATTTTTGAAGACTTTCATGAACCAATGCATGTACTAAACGTGCTTCTTGAAGTGATCTCCCTGGCTGTGGAATGCGTAGCATACAATTATATTTGCCCGGTAACTTTAAATCTGCATCTTTAACGACATTCGGGAAACTTGTCGTTTAACTCATTTCTCTATATTTTAGGTGACTCCGTCAAAATGGCTTCTGCCTCATATCTTCAGCAGATATCCTATGCCTGCAGTTAAGTTTATGTACGTACGCCAGAGACCAGGGGGACTGTGACTTTTCGGTCCACATGAATGTCATCTACTCCCTTCTCTATAGGCCCTTGGAACATGTTAGCGTGCTAAGTGATATAGGTCGAATTTCTTCACTTATTTTTAACGTGAAGTTGCAATATTATCTAATCAGTTACCGTCAGCCATTATTTCAGTTAGATATTTGGATTGTTTTCAAAGTTCTTAAGGACAGATCACTTCATTCGTATATTTCTTGATGTTTCAAGCCTTTCATTCGCTGCTTATTGCAGTCATTATGAAAATTTACGGCCACATTCGAGAGATTATTACATTAGAGCTCAGGCCACTGCGTTTATTAGCCAGTTCCGCTGTTTGCAGTTATGTTCTTTGGTGCTCATATTGTCTAAGTTTAGATGATCGCCTAGTTAGCTACTGTTTGAAAACTGGTGAGGTCAAAATCTTGTTCGTTAATACGCACAGAGCTGATTTCATTAGGGTGATTGCAAGATATTTAAAGGGACAGGGCATGTCAGTCTCGTCTCATAAACCGTTAATGCCCAGCTCTCGCTACGCTCGGGCCCACGCTGTTCTTAGAAGATTTCTCAGAAACGCTTAGTTATAACGGACGCAAAAACCAAAACACCGATCTGCCGTTTGATATTTCTGTATTGTTACACCAACATATAAAAGGAATAAGCGAACTAAGCAAACTAAGGTCTGAAAACTAATATTACAATAATAAATCATTGTTACTTCTGACGATATTTTACTCTTCTTTCTGAACAGCGACCGATGAGACGATGACTGTCGTATTGATGCCTCCGCGAAAATCGGGGAAGTTGATTTTGAGCAAACAACCAAGAATTGATCGTTCAATCTTCAACTCCATTGACACTCCCCGGCAAAATACGGATCCAACCCTTTTTTCCTTCACGATCAATGCACGTTGACTTGGATGCCATTGCGAGAACCTGGGTCACACGGACAGAGCTGAAATGGAAAACAAACAGAAAAGCCAACACACCACAAGCATACCCACAGCACAATCTCACACATCAATGACGACCTGCGCGTCCAGACAGAGACCTCCTCTTGACATCTTGCAACACAATCGCCACTTGCTAGAATGACTCTTGCAGAATGCAAAGTGACCATGGCAGCACCTCACGATACTCTATGCACATCCTCTTAATTACTCACTACCAATTACCATTGAAATCGCTTGTCACTCATTCTGCCTCAGTTCTAGTAGCGGTGACGCATGCGAGCCTCAGTCGTTTACACTCTTTCTCCCCGGCGTGTCGGACCGCAGCTAACAATTATCTCCGTGTGCGTTTCATTCTCAGCAATAGCCTAGCCTCCCCGGCGTATACGACCCATCTGCTGTCTCTAACATCAATCAATTCATTCACGAACGTAGAAGACAAGAAACAACTTCAGAAGTAATCACGACGAAAATTTTAACAAAATTATGCAATAAAAACAAGGCACGAAAACAACGAGTAAACACAACTGAAAAAAATCACAAATTGCGAAGACACACCACACGTATACACAAACAGTACAAATAACCTCGCGGATCATGTCTTGGTGGAATTATTTTGAAGAATTGGAGGACTTACATCAGTACGCCTGCAACCCTTCACAGGTTGACGATTGTAAGTTGTGGAATGTCCGGACACAAACAAGATTAACCAACAATTACATCAATTGGAACTCACACAACTATTTAACACAAACATATGTACAATCAACACATCAAATGTTGTGGATTCTGCCTTGACGAACTACCCTTGAAGAACTGTAGGACTTACAGCAGTACGCCTACAACCCTTCTCAGGTTGACGCCCTAGGTTGGAAAATCGTCGCAGAGTTCATTTGCTAACTTCCTTCTATCAGCTATATCCTCAAATCTGAACGGCAACACGCCCATGTCATTGTATCGTAGAATATAGATGACCAACAAACACACGACATATCTCATCAACCAAGTATAGAAACAGAGTAATTTACACCAAAGATAATAACATTCAAATAGTAACTTGAAACTAGAAATGCCTTTATTCGTGCAAGTCAATTTAACAATAACTCTCTCCTTTACACTTGGCTTATCCACACTAAACTGACCATTGATATTCGTCCTTTCAAACGAACTGATATTACCATAGTCATTGCACAAGATACTTGAGTTGATGGGCATCTGTTTCATTGTGGATGAAAACACCAACGATGACTGAGTGACACAAGGTGATGAACTTAGCGGTGGATCAGAAGCTGTTCTTTTTCGGCTTTCAGATAGTTGTCCAACTGCAAGATTACCACCACTGCTGTCTTTCACTACTAGTTCGGGTTTAGCACTATCATCTGATGATAGGTGGGCTACATGCTGATCAATTACACTGACTGTCTCACAAGTATGCACACCTTCTGGAACTGCATCTGCGTTCAATTCTACTTCACGTTGTAGTTGTACAGAACCTTTATTTAACTTAGCAGTAGTAGGCATATCCCTCATCTCATCATGATCAACCAAAGACAAATCTGCACTATCATGATCATTACCACAAATATTCAATTTACCGTCAAGTTCATCATTTTCAAACTCTTTAATAACAGAAGTAGACAATTTTGGTTCCTCCTCGCAAATCATTAAAGGTTTTATAACTTCACTCTGACTAGATATACCTTGTAAACTTGTGGAGTCAGAACTCCACTCTGAAGCAGTAACTCTATTCTGTGACACTCTATTCAACAACGGCTTACCAGTTGCAACTACAGACTTCTTCACAACACCGTTATCGTCACACAATTCGGAGTCAGGCCTGGAGTTTACATTTAGCTTATCACTGAACTTGCTCACCGGTTCACAGTTCACTTCTGTATGCACCTCTTGCACACGTGTAAAACAAAACCGTGTTTGTCTTGCATCTTGTAACTTATCTGTTGAGGATGTACTACGAAACCTGTTACACTCACTAGGTCTATATGCATTACTAGACATCATGGAGTCTTCTCGATATCCACCTCTCTGAGGCCTACTCGTCATCAATGATTGCATTTTGATCTCAGACTGCTCTATTCTAGGGGTGAGATCTAATAGACTGGCGAACTTGCTCATAGATTGATTGACACTAGTATTTACCAGTTTCAGGATATCATCAAACTTTGGCTCGATACCCTCATCCTCCATACGGGAGCTTATCTTCACCCACTTCCTTTGCAGTCGAGTAGGTAGACGTCTTGCTATTACTTCTAGTATAAAACTCGAGTTGAGGTCACTCATTCGATTCATCGAAATCATTCCATTCTTGTAAATTAGCAAATTATCTAAAAACTCAGTGAGTGCCTGGGAGTCATCCTGTAATTGACCACCATTACCCTTAACAGCCTCGAATAATTTCCCTGCAATCATCGAAGGTCTTCCAAACCTTTGACGTAATATGCTCATAGCCTCATCGTAGCCCTCTTTTGGCTTCATAAACTTACAACACTGTATAGCTCTTGCAGCATCTCCAGTGCAATATCTCATCAAATACATTAACTTCAATTCATCATTTAATAAAAAACCACTCAACATGATCTCAAACTCCTTTACAAATTGTAAATAATCAGCCGGGTTTCCATCAAAACATCGTGGTTCAAATTTAGGGAGTTTGATGTTCCTATTATCCCTGAACGGCGAAACAGTAACATCAACCATGTCATACTTAACATCAGACACATCGTTACAATTAACAGACAAGTCACCATGACTTACTTTCCTGTTTGCATCCAAGACACTCTGTCCCTTCTTTGACCCAGGCATTGTTGAACTTGACCCAATTCCAAAAAGTTCCAGATATTGCTTGTTCAAAGAGGACTTGACCGGCACCAGGAAAAATGAACGGCGACTATCCAAACTTTCACCAACTGTTTGAATCCGCCAGATCTGTTTCTATCGTCAGAAACTGTCAGTGTCGTCTCATAAACCGTTAATGCCCAGCTCTCGCTACGCTCGGGCCCACGCTGTTCTTAGAAGATTTCTCAGAAACGCTTAGTTATAACGGACGCAAAAACCAAAACACCGATCTGCCGTTTGATATTTCTGTATTGTTACACCAACATATAAAAGGAATAAGCGAACTAAGCAAACTAAGGTCTGAAAACTAATATTA